TATGTATGACTAATACCAAAAACAAAGACAGGAAAGGAAGAATAAAAGAAAATAGATGATGCAACTAGAAAATATAGCAAATGACTAACATTATAATACAGGAGTCTAACATAATATAACTAAAAGAAGAAATATACACAAATGCACACTGAGTTGGAGATTTCACAACACATCTTGGTAAATACAAGACAAACAGACAACACAGCAGTGAAAATATGAAGATTTGGTTGGCACCATTAGCCAGCTTGTTCTAACACTCACTAATCACAGAACTGTGCCCTGCCACCCTGCCTTGGAGAAAGCTGATGATGGACTGAAACCTCCACAAACTGTGAGCCATTGTTTACAAAACCCTGTGGATTATTTACCAAAATAAACCATAACCTGGTCAATAAAATGAGTCTCGACAAATTTTAAAAACTGAAATAATATAGCCTATGTTTTCTGACAATGAGGTCAAACTAGAGCTCAGTAGCAAAAATAATACAAATCCCCCAGAGCCTTCAAAAGTAAGAAACATACTTCTAAATCACCCAGAGGTCAGAGAAGAAATCACAAAGGAATGAAAGGAGAAGCGCTGGCAGTTTGGACTGAAGGGATATCCTCTCACCACGCGTGGGGGGTCTGGAGGGAACGTTGTAGCTTTAAATGCACAGATTGCAAGAGAAGCGGTTGGAAGCCAGTGATCTAAGCTTTCAACACAAGAAGGAAGAGGGGCTGGGGATTTAGCTCAGTGGCACAGTGCCTGTCTGGCAAGCACAAGGTCGTGAGTTCGATTCCCAGTACCGGGAAAAAAAAACCAAGAAGGAAGAAAAACCAAAAAGAAAGGGGAAGAAAGAAAACAGTGAAGCTATAAAAAAGAAGCCCAGAAAATGAAATACAGACAGGTAAGAAAATTAATAGAACCAAAAGCCGATCCTTGTCAAAGGGTGGCTAAAACTGCTGGGGGAGATGAAGGGGAAGGGAGAGGAGATCAAGAGGAGATGGAGAGGGAGAGGAGGAGCGGAGCGAGGGAGAGGGACGGAGACAGGGAGCGCATGCGAGGACTTCGCGCCCCGCCCTCACGGTCCCTAGGTACCAGCGGACCCACAAGAGCATCACATGCACACTGCGCGGGGGCTGCTGGACACGGGGCACTGTCACCGGGAGGGAAGTGACTCTGAGATGTGAGCACTTTCTGGGCCCGCTGCTCTGCCCACGGCAGCCCTCGGGACCCAGTGTGCACCCTGAGGACCTGCACTCCTGGGAAGCTTCCAGATCAGGAAATCCCGGGCCTGATCCTAAAGCATCAGTGCTCCCTGTGTGCTCCTCCGGACCCACCTGGAGGCAGGAGTGAGTCTTACTTGGCAGTGCGGAAGGGAGAGCCGGAGCCAGACCGCCTGGGTGTGGCCCAGCCCACCCTTCACTAGCTGTGTGACCTCAGGCAACTCCTTCGCCTCTCTGTGTCCATGTGGTCTCACGTGGTATATGGGGGTGCAGAGGGCCCCTCTTTCCTGGAACCCCTGGGGCTGTGCAGTGGACCCGGGGGCAGATCCAGCGCTACAGGAAGCAGCGAGTCAACCTACCTGGAGACCATTGCCAAGGCGCCGCAGAGCTCGTCCTTGGTCCACGGAACACCACTGTCTCTTCTCCTCTTTTCCCACACGTGCTTCTTTTCCTCCTGCTCCATCGATGCTTCCTTGCTGGGTGCCGGGTCCTGCTGCGTTGCTCCAGAGTGATGAAGGACTGGGAGGATCGGCACCACACGCGCAATCCTGCACATCTGAGGAAGGCCCTGTCCGCCCTCCACACACACCCACGTCCTCCTCTGAGGGTGGCCCTCGGGCTCCCAGGATCAGCTGCCCTGAGGTTCCACCCACCTGGACCTCTTTGTCTACGGTGCACAGCTCGTCCCCTGTCCTTGTGATGTCTCCCTGGGGGTGCTGCCCCCCACGCACCGAAACCCCCATGTCGCTGCTCATCCGCTCCAGCCCTCGGACCCGGCATAGAAGGTGTTCGTTTTCCTTCTTCAAGGCCCTGAGCGTGTCTTCTATGGCCAGCTCTGCATGCTTTATCAGCTCCTTATACCTGACCCCAAGCTGCGACGTCAGCACCTTGAGCTCCCTGCTGTCCAGGGTGACCCGGTCTGCCACGCCTCGGGACTCCCTCCTGCGCTCAGACACGGCTTCCTGCAGCTGTCCCAGCTCCCCCTTCAGTTTCTCGTTCTCCTCTTCAAGCTGCACGATCTTGCCGTAACTCTCGCGGTTGCAGTCCTCCAGGTCGGAGATGGCCTGCAGACACGGGCCCAGCTTGCCCTGCAGATGCGCCAGGTCCACCACCAGCTCGCGGTTCACCTGCTCTAGCCTGTGCATTTCAGCGGCGTCTTTCACCCTCGCTTTTTCAAGGTCGCACACTTTACGACGGCATCTGTCCTGGTCGCCCCGGAGTATGACGTTGTCATATAGGACCTGCCTTCTCTCTTTCTTCAGTGCGGAAAGGAGCTGCTGAAACCTGTCTCTTGCCCGCTCCAGCGCCCTCCGAGGCTCTGCAGGGTCTGGGCTGGCTGTGTGGCAGGTGGGCGCTGTCCCTGGAACACCTCTGCTGGGGCACAAGACCGCAGTCTTTCGCAGTCTGACACCTTCACCGTGCACCTTGGGCTCTGCTTCCGCAGCGAGACAGGCATCCCAGCCCTGGCTTGCCAAGTCCCACTGAGAATAAGTGCAATCCTCGCCGCTGCTGCGCCATCTGGGAGCAAAGCTCCAATTCTCTTCCATCGGTGCAGACATCTTCCCCCGGTGCCCCCCGCTGCCAAGCTGCAGGGTATGCAGCTGCCGGAAACAAGCCTCCACCTCCCTCTCAAACTCATCTATTTGGAGAGCACACCTGTCTCCTTCGCCTAAGGGAGAACTGGCAGCTTCACACCTGGTGGCTGGCACAGCCAGGCTAGGAGGCTGCGGCAGACTGTGCTCTCCTGCACAGGAAGGCACTTCCTGGCCCACGAGTGCCTGGGAGTTGGGCTGCCCAGGGACATGGCTGTGGCCCAGAATGGATGCGTCTCCAGGCAGCACCTTCTCCTCCTCCTCAGGTCCCTCCTGCGCCCGTTCCTCCTGAAGAGGCAGGGCTCTCCCCAAGTGCGGCTTCCGGTCCTTCTCATCCCGCAGCATCCTCTGAGGGGCCCTGCCCCGTCCCGCAGTGAGCTTCGGTGCTCCAGTCCCACGAGCCCTGGACCCTGTGGCCAGGAGCACTGCTTCCTCCTCTGAGGACGACAGCCCTTCCGGGGGTCCCAGGCCACATCCTTCCACCTTCCCGCTCTTACTCAGGGGCTGGGGGCCCTCCAGGGTCGCTCCCTGCAGAAGAGCCACCGGACAGTCCTGCTGAAGCCACGGGCAGCAGACAGTGGCCAGGGTCTCCGGAGCCCCAGTGTCATGCTGCCCACCCTCAGGGGCTCGGGCCACGCTCCCTGGGCTCAGGTCCTCGCAGCCTTCCTGCCCCAGCTGCCATTTGGCACCGTGCTTTCCCTCTGCCCGGCCTGAAGTCCTCCTCGCCTCCCCCTCCTCTGCTGTCCCCCCTGGGGTCCCTCCTCCCCCGGTCCAAGTGTCTCTGTGACCCGTGGGTCCCGTCCTCAGAAGCAGGTGGTTGGAAGGACATGTTGCCTCCTGGCAGAGGGAGACATGGCGGCTCCTTGCCCGGTGACAGCCCCAGCCAGAGTGTGCAGTGGGCTCGGGGGCTGGCGGGGGCCTGGTGTCCAGCTCTTCTTGGGCTTGGAGCCCTTCTGCAGAGGCCTCCTGGAGCGGCAGCGGCAGCAGGGTCACAGCGTCCCCAGCCGGCCCCGAGAGGGGGAGTGTGGATGGCTGCACCAGGACACAGGGCTCCTGGATGGCCTCAAGACTCTCTGAAACCTGGGCCAGGTCCAAGGGGAGGAGCGAGGCTTCCACAGACTGCCCTGGAGGGCAGCCACACACCAGGAGGAGCACCTGTCCATGCAAGCTGTGCTCAGCCAGGGAAAGCTGTGGGCAGAAAGGGGACCAGGTGTGAAGCAGCCCCACCTCCTCATCTCCAGAGGTACTCTAGTGCCCTCACCCAGCAGCAATGCATCCAGCTCTGCCCCACACAGCCCGAGCCTGCAGCTGCCCCAGGACCCTTGCACCAGCTCTTTCTTCTGCATAGCACCTCCTTCCCTTCATGTGCCCACCCGTGATTCATTCCCAACTGCGCTCAAATGTCACTTCTTCTCCATGGCCCCTGGTCCACTACAGCTCTGTCTGCCACTCGCCCCCTCATCGTCTCAGGTCTATGCCTGGGAAATGAGATAAGTGCCTGCCCCCCTGGGCCCTGTCTTTCCATCCATCCCATCACTCTACTGGGACCCGGGTGACACGGTGGCTTCTCCAGGATGCTCTGTGTTATGGTTTAGATCTCTAATGTTCCCCCAAAGTCTCTTGTGTGTGGAAGGTGACTGGATCACGGGGTGCCATGCGCATCAGTGGAGCCATCCATGCCTGAGCTCAGGGCTGACTGCGCTGTAGGAGGTGGGGTCTGGCTGGAGGGGTCACTGGGGTGTGACCTGGAAGGGTGCCTTCCTGTCCCCGGCTCCTCCTTCTCTGTGCTTCCTGGCTGCCGTGGCTTGAGCAGCTCTCCTTCACCACACCCTTCCAACATGATACTCCTGCCTTGGGGCCTGCCAACCATGGACTACCCTCTGAAACCATGAGCCACATAACCATCTCCCCCTTTAACTTGCTGATGCCAGGTATTATGTCCCAGCCACAGAAAAGCTAATGAACATACTCTGCTTGCACCGTGGGCCCCTGGTGAGCACACTCAGTACTCTTCCCACGTAAGGTAGATCAATGCCCTGTTCTGTTCAGAACCACAGAACTTCATTGGTGCTAGGGCTGCAGCACCAGCCAGCTAAGTGCTGTTCTTCAGCAAGGGGAAACAGGGACAAGGGGAGTGACCTGGGCCAAGCAAGAAGAGATCCCAGATCCCGGCCCAGAGGGGCAGTGTGGGGAAGGAGCCAGGAGCTCTGGCTGACCCCCGGAATGGGTATCCCAGGGAGTCCCAGCCGCTGGGTCTCATCCTTCCCCACATGGCAGCCCAGGCCCCACACAGTTGGGCTCTCCTCCCTCCACCGTCCTAGCCAAATTGCAAGATGTCACTTTCCATCCCCCCAAATCTCTTCCCAACCATTTCCAGCCTGTTGCAGTGGGCACACTGCTGTGTGTACAGTAGCACCAATGGGGCACACGCAACAGCTTCTCTCCTCACCTGTTCACAGTCAGACCCTGCGCGGTCTCCCGGGAACTCACTTGTGGCCTCCAGGGCTGGCACCATGACACGGGGGTCCTCTCCATCTCCAACACAGCCATAGCTGCAGGGTCCCTCTGAGAGCTGGCCTGGGAGCAATGCGACATAGAGGTGTTGTGGGTTAGATCTAAATATTCCTAACGCTCTTGTGCTCACGAAGGTAACTGGACCGTGAGGGCTCTGACTGTATCAGAGGATTCATCCAGCAATGGACTCGTAATTTGATGGCATTACTGGGAGGGATGGAAACAGGAAGTAGGGCCTATGTGAATGGAGTGGATCTTGGGGCATGACCTTGGGGCCTGTCTCGGGGCCCTGGCCCCTTCTTCTCTGGTTCTTTCCCTCTGTTTTTCTTCTCAGCCATGAGATGACTGTCCACCTACCATGATGTTTCTGCCTCACCACAGTCCCAAAAGCAATAGAGCAGATGACCAGGGACTAAACCCTCTGGAACCCTGAGCTGAAATGACCTTCTCTTCTCAGCTGTTTATCTCAGGTATTTTGTCACAGGCACAGGAAGCTGACTCACACACAAGGTTAGAGAGCCTCTCCTGGGACCCTCACCACAACGGCCACCACAGACTACCCCATCTTTGTGAAGATAAGATGGCCTGTCTTGACCTTGAGCACACAGTGGCTCCCAAGGCAACCTGATGGTCCCCACCCTTGTCAAGTGAGGAAACTGAGGCTCAGAGAGGGGGCGTGACCATCAACTACTGAACAGAGGACCCGGGTCACCATGCCACCTCCGCTGACCAGAGCACTCACACCTGGACAGAGTCCAGGAACCTTTCAGACCCTCACGTCCCCACAGCTGTCAGCAGAGTAGAAACCACCACCACCGAGGGGGTGCGAGGAAGGATGAACAAAACTGTCTGTTCAGACCGGACCCGGGCTGACTTCAGCTCTGCTCCCCAGAAATGGGTTGAGGGTGTTGTGGGCAATCAGCCAGGGATCCGCGGTGCTGCGGCAGTACAGATAATTCATGGTGCATATATACAGTGCAGGGCCACCTGCAAGCCCAGCTGTGCTTGGAGAAGCTCTTGCAGCAGGGAGCAGGCAGCCATGCCTGGCCTGTTATGAGAGATAATGGTACCTGGACCATGGCGGCACATGCTTGTAATCCCAGCTAGCATTCTGGAAGGCTGAGGCAGGAGGCGGGCTAGTTTGAGCTCTGCCTGGACAATTTAGTGACTTAGTGAGACCCTCTCTCAGAATAAAAAAGCAAAAGAGGGTTGGGGATGTAGGTCAGTTCAAAGGCCTGGGATAAGACACTAGGGAAAACGGACTTGTTAGAGATAAGGGGCGTCTCAGCCCTGGCAGTTCCCGGATGTGCCAAGTGCACGTCTCATTCCCTCACGCCTGCGCCATCCCCAAGTCATCATCCAGATGTCCTCTGGTGTGCCAGGGCCCCTGGCTGGCACCCCTCGAGGCTGCATTTGTAGCTGAGTCTTACACGCCCTTCTGGCACTGCAAACTCTGACCCCACCTTTACCAGCTGTGAGCCACCAAACAAGTGACACTACCTCTCTGTGCCTCAGTTTCCCCTCTGTGGCCAGGGAGAGACCGTGCCTTCCCCCTGCGTCGTCAGGACGCCATGAAGACTGAGCTAAGCCATGAGAACTGAGCTAACCCAGGGATGGGTGTCCTGCAGGCCTCCCATGCTCCACGCGCTCCGGCCCCCACAAACCTGCTGAGGGCCCTGGTCCTTGGGCCTCCTCCTGCTGGCCTCGGCTCCCGCAGGGGTCCTGCTGCCTGCACGGAGGCGCGGAGTCATCCTGCATACAGCCCTGGCTGGCCTGCGGGGAGACAGTGTAAGAGAGGCTGTGTGTCCAAGCCGCACCTGCGCGGAGGCCCCTCCACAGCACAGCGTCAAGCAGACTTCAAGGTGAGGAAACCGGGGCGCTGAGGGCACACAGCCTGGCCCCACAGCGGCCCTGTGCCCCTGCCCACCAGGCCACCCAGCGCCTACTGGCACCCGGCTCCTCTCAGTCAATGACAGGGGCAGCGCTCGTGTCACCGGAGTCTGTCCCACCAGCAAGGCGCTGCGGGAAGAGCAGCGTCTCCCAGGGGCTCTGTGCCCCACCGGGTCTCGCAGGGGGCAGGCCGGGTCCTGGGCGGAGCGCTCAGCAGGAGCTCGCCAGTGCGCTCCACGCTGACCCCGCATGCCGACCCACTTCTTCCCACTGCTGCTGGGGTGGGGCAAGGAGCTCACGGGAAACAAGAGGCTCAGGCAGGTCTTCCTGCCCCACCGCCCAGGGCACCAACCTTCCCCGACCACGCGCTCCTGGGGGTGGAAGCGGAGCTCGGCTGCTGTGTGCCAGACAGACTTCTCTCCCGGCACCTGGCTCCAGCTGCTCCTGCCCTTCCCCACCAGCACCTGGCAGAACCCAGAGCAGGCTGTACCCTAGGTCTGCGCTTGCTCCCTCCAGGTTGAGGAAGCAGGTGCCCGGCCCCGCCCACCCCGATGCCCCGCCCATCTTCCGAAGCCCCGCCCACTCCGCGCTGCCGTGGGAGACCTGCCTCCAGGCTGAGGCCGGGCCATGTGCAGCCCACAAACCGCGGTCCTACCTCTCTGACCTCGGCTCCTCGTCTGCAGACGAGGCTTGGGGACAACCCCTCCAGGAGCACGCTTGTCGTGACACAGTGCTAGATAAAGGGACTCGAGGACAAGCACCCAGTGTCCCACGGAAATGCAGGCCAGGTCCTCGGCGAGACTCCCCAGCCTTCCTCGACCCTCCCCCAAGTTCCGTGCCGTCCCCCGCCCTCACGGGCCCTCGTCCCCAGCCTGTGACATCCTCTTTATCTGACAGTTTGTGCCAGGTCTATTTCTGCCCACGAACCAGGGGCCCCCACCCTGGCCACAGCATGCAACCGCCCGGAAACTCCCGGCAAATACCACAGGGGGCGGGCAGGAAGGGTGACCGGGCAGGGAAGGAGAGCGAGAATAGGGCGGCGAGAGGGAGACGGGGATTAAAAATGAACAGGGAGAGAGAAGCTGGTGGGAAAAGGAAGGAATTGAGGATGGAAGAAGGAAGAGACCCGCGCGCGGCGGTGCAAGGCCCATTGCCACATCTCAAGAGGGCGGACCTGGGCACCACCGCGCTGCTCCCGGGTCCCGCTTGGATTTGGTTACAACACGCAGCTTGGTCTCAAAGCAGTTCATGCCGCGCAGGCTGAGCACCAGCTACGCAGCGGGGCCTGGGCCTGGGCCGGGCGAGGCCGGGGACAGACGCACACATGCCCCTGCCTCCTAGCGGACACTGCGCAGACGCCACACCGCTATCTAGTCTGCCCTCTCCATCTGCAAACCAGGCAGTCAGTCCTCAGAGGGAGAGCCGCGGGAGAACAGGACCGGAGCTCTGCTCTCCCTGTGCCTGAGCTGGACTCGCTCCGGGCCTCCCTGCACCGAGGTCCGCCCAGCCCTGTCCTCCCTGCTCCGCAACGCTGCAGGGGAGAAGCCTCTGCCTGGACTCTGCTGGCTCCCGCCTGAATGTGCACTTCTTCAGAGCTAGGCGGAAGTAGCAAATGAGCGACCAGAAGGTGCCCGGGCACCGGACACTGAGGTGTCAGAATAAGCCCCGGGCTTTTTTCTACGCAGAGACACTGCGAAAATTCTACTTGTACGAAGTGTAAAGTTCCACCACATGCATCTTTTTTTTTGGTCTTTTTTTGTTGTTTTGTTTTTCTTTTTTTAGTAACGGGAATCAAACTCAGTACCTTGCACTTGCCAGGCTGGCGCTTGTGCCGCTGAGCTATTTCAGAAGGATCATTTCCCGCTGGGTCCTTCACGTGCAGCTGTGTGCGGCTGCTGCCGTTCCCTGCCATGCTGTGCCTTGCAGTCAGCAAGCCAGTGCCCTCGGGTGGGACGTCGGGGTGGTTTCCAGACGGTGCCCGCCACAAGCCGCGCCGCCTGCACCCTGCGTCCCTCGGGTGCCCTCGTGAGGGGCACATGGTCAGGCACAGGCATTTGTAAGTTTTTCCACTCACTGGTGATGCCCCCTCAACGTGCCTTTTTGTACTCCCAGTGGTTCAGACCCTCCACAGTGGTGGGACCTGTAGATATTTAGCCAAATATAGCAGAAGTAGAATCCTGAGCAATCGTTTGGGTTTTGGGGTTTTTTTTTTTTTTTGAGACAAGGTCTCACTATGTAGCCCCGGCTGGCCTCAAAATCACAGGTGATCCTCCTGCCTCAGCCTCCCAAGTGCTGGGATTACAGGCATGCACCACCACATCTAGCTCCTAAGCAATCTTCTCTTTTTTAAAAAATTCTTTCACCCCACAAATGTGTACAATTAAAAATAATTTTAACTGAAAAAAAAGAGGAAAAGTTTCCCAACAATCCGATATCATTTTACTAGTGTAAGCGTCTACCTCAAGATTGGAAAAGATGAGCAAAATAGACCCAAAACATGCAGAAGGGGGGCAGAGACAAAGATGGTAAGGTTTGCTCTGACGCTTGTGCACCGTGGCTTTGACTTCGCGTGCATCATGGCTTGAAGGCTGTTTCTCCAAGCTCTTGCTCCCCAATGCAACCGAGTGTCCAAGTCTCCCCGAAATGAAGCCAGTCCTGTAGCTGCCACCAGGGGCCGCACTACGCCCGCTGTCGTGGCAGAGAGAACGGGGCTTGCCTGGCCACACCCCTGTCGCCCCCTAGCGGCCTGAACCGCCACTATCCACACCTGACCCTGTGTCCCCTAAAGTTTGGGAAGACCTGGGCCCTGATGAGGTCACCCCCAGCCCCCTGCATTGAGGCAGGGGCCAAAAGCTCCAGGAGTTTCTGGCACTGTGGGAAACCACTTTCTTTGAATTTCCTCTCTCCCCAGACGCCTTGCCGTGGTCTGTTCCTCGGGGGAACCTGGGCCCCTAGCAACTTGCCCCCAAATTGTACATCGTGTGACCCAGGCACGTGACCCTTTAGACTATGGGTTTGGGGACAGGGACACTAATCCCTGCTCTGGCTGCCTCACAGCACCCAAAAGATCCTTCTCAGAAAGATCTTTGCAAACATGATGGAAACAACACACCTCCTCATAATGACTGCCCTCACTCTAACTCACACCATGGCTCCCGAGCCAATGTAGGGGGAAAAGTCTGCACCCTTTTCAGTTTTGCTTCTTTCATTAGCCTGAGTGAGGGACTTTATCTCCCTGCCTCAGTTTCCTCATCTGCACAATGAAGTATTCGAGGATCGCAGAAGCTTGTGGGGGACACGGCATGCTGCTGGGCCAGGCAGGCCTAAGCCTCGGACATCCGCCTCAGTAGTGACTGTGTGTGGCATGCAGCCCCTGTGTCCCAACTTCTTACTGTGCTTCTTAGCACACCACTTTGAGGTCTTCCCTGGGCCAGAAGTGGGTTGGGGCCAATGCCTTCCTATAGCTGCCTTCCCACTGGATCACTTGCTGCCTAAGTAGGGGTGGGGATTCAGAGCTCAGCTGGACCCAGGTGGTGACAACGACGACGACGACGACGACGACGACGACGACGAGGGCCCCATGTTGTGGGGTGGGCAGGCTGGCACGGTGAGGATTAGGGCCACCAGCCTGGGTCCCATCATTAAGGAGGCTCTAACGAGTTGTCATGAAGTCAGGGAGGTCTTCCTGGAGGAGGCAGCATTCCTGCTGCACAGACATAGCACTAGTTTTGATGGAGTGGCCGTGACTGGCAGGGCAGCCTAGGCCTTTGGATCCAGGGAAGCTGCAGGGTGCACAGCTTGGCACACCCAGGGCCCGCAGAGCACAGCAGGGGCCAGGGAGCCACTGAGCTCAAGGAGGCATAGGCCAGAGTACCAGGGGCCTTGAATGCCATAGTTAGGAGGGTGAACCCCCCAGTGGGGACCCAGGGGTTTGTGAAAAGTTACCAGGACAAGCTTCTGAGGACCTGGTGGCCCCTCTGACAATGCACCAGCAGCTTCAGGAAGTCACGAAGGACAAAGACGCTCTGGGACCCTGGCTAGACGCCATGAGCATGGACCACCCAGGCTGTGCAGCTCCTGTCCAGATGGGGAGCTCAGCATGGCTTGGTAGCTTCCTTACCAGCAGCTCCCACACGGGAGTGTGGCTCAGGTTGCGTCCCCTGAGCGCTGGTGGCCCGTGGCCCTCTGCCACCCACCGTGCTCCAAGGACAGGCTGTCACCACCCTCTGGGAGAAGGGCAGGGCACTGGCACTCCTGCGGACTGGGGTTCAACCCCAGGCCAACCCCAGGACCTTCCAGGGTGACCCATGGGCTCCCAGCCCTCGCCTCTCCCTACCCGCTTCACCAGCTGTTCTGTCACGCGGTGTCTTAGTCCCCACCCTGTCTGAGTTCCAGCCAGAGCTGAGCGCGGGCACCCAGTGGACCTCAGGAAGTACCAGCCGCGCAGAGTCACTGGAGAGCAGAGAGTGCGAGGTACAAGCCTGGTCACCGTGTGCCGTGGCCTCAGCGTCTGTGTCCCTAGGTTGACACACATTCAACCCAAACCCGCACTGTGAGGGTGTTACCGGAGGTGGGGTCTCTGGGCAGTCATCTGGTCGTGGGCAGGGAGCCCCCAGCGCGGCGAGTGCCCTTCCTCCCGCCCTGCCCTGGGCACCGGGAGAAGGCACCACCGTAAGCAGGAGGCGGGCTGTGTGGCTCGGCGTCCACACCTGTCACAGATACCAGAGACACCAATTGGGAAAGAAGGGTTTATTCTGGCTCACGACTTTGGAGGTCTCAGTCCACGGTCTTCGGCACTGTTGCCCCTGGGCCTGTGGCAAGGCAGCCGCTGTGGCCACAGCCCGAGGGAGGTGCTCCTCCTGCCGTGCCCGGAAAGCAGAGGGAGCGAGGCAGAGGAGGAGCCGGGTCCCAGCGTCCCCTTCAAGGGCGTATCCCCGTGACTAACTCTCGTCTCCTAAAGGTTCTCCACTTCCACAGTACCATGGCCAAAGGCAAAGCCTCTGATACCGGGCCCCGGGGACACCGGTTCCCATCCCACAGGTGCCTTGATCTCGGACATCCAGGCTCCAGAAAGTTGCCAGACCTTGGCAGCTTGTACAGTCAAAGATGCAACGCCTAAAATCTGTGTGACCCTGGGCAGGCCAGGGACCTCTCAGTGCAATGCCTCGTGTCTGTATAGGAGGGCAAAGCCTGGCAGCAGTGCCTGGCACACAGCCACCCCGGTAATGTGTAGGACTGTGCACATCCACTGGGCACAGCTGCACACAGGGCCCAGACTCCGGTCAGCAAGAAAGCAGAGCCCACGGGGCTTAGCATCTGTGGGTCCTCATGATGGTGCATGCAGAGGGGTCCTTATGGGCTGAATTGTGTCCCCCACAACTCTTATGTCAAAATCTGACTCCTGGGTTTGGGGACTCAGACTATGACCTTATTTAGAAATGAGGTCATTGTGGATCTAATAGTCAAGATGAGGTCATAATGGAGTTCAGTGAGGTCATAAAGGGGCACAGTGAGGTCATAATGGGGTGTGATGAGATCATATGGGGTGTGATGAGATCATATGGGGTGTGATGAGGTCACAGTGGGGGTAAGATGAGGTCACAGTGAGGGTAAGACGAGTGTATAAAGGAATACAAAGAGATCATAACAGGTATGATGAGGTTGTAATGGGTATGAGGTCATAAAGGGGCAAGACAAAGTCATAATAGAGCACGACGAGGTCATAATAATTACAGGGTCAGCATGGAGGAAGACGAGTCACAAAGGGGTGAGATGCAGTCGTGATGGAGTGAGATCAGGGCATACTGAGGGCATGAATGGTAAGCGGTTAGAATGGGGCAAGACGAAGTTAACCTGGGATAGAATGGGTCTGTGGTGGGTAAGATGAGGTCAGGACGGGGTAGGATAAGGTCAGAACGCAGCAAGGCAAGATGCTAACGAATACTCTGTTTTTACACTGTGTTTATATTTTATTTTGTATTTATGACCATCGCCTTGGCCAGCTGATACAACGCTTAGGGCCTGTTTCTCTGGCACAGGTGTCAAAGCGAAAGTAATGAAATGACCTGCAAAGCCCACAGGCCTCAAGGTCAAGGGTCGGGCCGCAGGGCCCAACCTGAGTCTGCACAGCCTGTGCAGACGAGCCCCACCCAGGGGACGCTTGGTCCCTGCCTGTCCCCACCTCGACAACCCTTACCACGTGGCCTCATGGGAAGTTGAGGGGGGCTCCTCAGCCGTGGGCAAGAGCAAGGGTGCAGGCCACGTCCAAAGCCAGAGAAATGGGCCCGCAGCATCTCAGGGCTGGCACGGGGCCAGGCCCTTGTGACCCCGGTGGTGGGCTCCTCCCTCCCCTGCTCGTAATATTTTCTCCAGGCACCCTTTCTGTGCCAGGTATGGCGTGGATAGACTGTGGAGTAGATGGGGCACTGATCATGTGAGATCGGTGTCCTTGTTCCAAGAGACATGGGACAGACACACAGAGGAAGGAGGGAAGCACAGCTGAGCAGTGAGAGGCGAGGAGCAGATGTCTGCTGCACCATCTTGACTTCACACTTCTCCTGGACCAGACAGAACAAAGGTCTGTCACCTCAGGCACCCAGTTTGCGGTGCTCTGTGATACCCATCGCAGGACAATACCCCGCTGGGCTTTGCCTGTCCCTGGGGACCTGGCAACCTGGCCCTTGGAGCCAGACGGGGTGCCCCACCTTCTCCTGTCGTGCTCCTGAGGCCTCCCGTGGGCTGTGCCCCTGTCCCTGGACTTTCCTCTTTCCTCCCCCGCGGGAGCCCCCAGAGCCCCGGCCCCTGCCTTGGGACTGCTGCGGGTGCTGTCCCCACCCACAGGGAGGGCTGCGCTCTGTCTTCCAGTGCCAGGCGGGGCACTGGCTGGGACCACACTCCGTGGGCACCTCGGGGAGTTTTCAAGAGACTCTGATCCACACAGCCTGGAGAGCTCAAGACCCACGTGAGACGCAGCCCCTGGGATGCTAGGGCGTTCAAAAAGTTCACCGAGACACGCTGGCAAGGGATGCGTGGGCCGAGGCCGCAGAATCTACTGAGTCCGCCGTTACAGCAACCCAAACCCAGCAGGCACCAACTCCGGGTCCCAAGGAGGGACAGCGGGGCTCACAGCTCTGACCGGCCCGTCTCCCAGGGAGGGACAGCGGGGCTCACAGCTCTGACCGGCCCGTCTCCCAAGGAGGGACAGCGGGGCTCACAGCTCTGACCGGCCCGTCTCCCAAGGAGGGACAGCGGGGCTCACAGCTCTGACCGGCCCGTCTCCCAAGGAGGGCCAGCAGGGCTCACAGCTCTGACCGGGCCCGTCTCCCTGCCACCCAACACCTGGTCCCTAAGTCACCTCCCTCCCAGGTCAGTTTCTCTTTCTATCTGTGGGGGAGCGGCCCCCACCCAGGCTCCTCCAGGGATGCCAGGGGAGAGCTCGAAAAGCAGAGATGAGCAGCCCGCAAACCCTCTCAATGAGCCTTCCTGAAGAGGTGGGGAGCGGCAGGGCGCAGGCGCCGGAGAGAGGAGAGAGCAAGGGTCTCAGCCCACCGCCCCGAGAAAGCCAAGTCTAGAAAAATCACAGAAAAGATTCTGCATAACTATTTCCGTCCAGGTGAGATTTATTTTCCAAAATTAAAAGGAGGTGCCGCCATTAAACACACACTCTGTTCTTCTGCCTGATAACGTAATAGAGGCAGGATGCGCAGGACACACACACAAGGGACGGGGGGTGGGGGGGACAAGACAAGTGTCACCCCGATAAAGCCATTATTAAAAGGACCTCAACACAGCCGGGCGCGGTGGCGCAGGCCTGTAATCCCAGCACTCGGGAGGCTGAGGCAAGAGGATTGCTGTGAGTTCGAGGCCAGCTTGGGCTACATAGTGAAACTGTCTCAATAAAATAAAATTTAAAAAAAATAAAATGACCTGGGCAAGACATACATCATTATCTTGGGAAAACACAGAGCACGTCTGGTTCCGGGGTCAATCCGGTTGGTTGGGATGAGTGAGCCTCTTCGGGCTGGGGTTCCTAACTGCAAGTGAACCCAGAGAAGCGAGTCAAGCGAGAGCCTCCTTCCCGGGGAGCCGGCTGTGCAGAGGAACCGTGCAGTCTGAACTCAGAGGCTGGAGCTGCAGTTCTGTTCCTCGGAGCTCTGAGCCTCCGCAGAGCCAGATGCCACCCCCCGCCTCAGTCTTAAGGCGCATTACAGATGCTGTCCTGAGAACGGCCAGCAGGGTGCAGCCTCACACAGGGCAGGAAGATAGGAAACGCAGGCGCTCGCTCCTCCCTCCGCCAAATGAATGGATCAATCTGCAGCCTGCTCTCCCCAGTTTAAGAAGCTGGCTCAGGTGACACTTAGCAACTATGGGAACCAGGAAGGGGAGACCCCATAGGTCCCCTCCTCCGCAGCCCTGGGGTTTCCTGTGTGCTGCCACTGGGGCTGGAGCTGCGAAGACCAGCCAAGCCCGGGCCCTGCGCTGCAGGAGCACACACTCGAGGAAGAAACGGCAGAGCCCAGTAAGACCTGCCACCCCCTGGGGGTGAGGCTGGGTCAGGACAGCCTTGACACCACCTGAGAGGAGGGCCTCGTCTTGCACAAGGCTCGCACCCAGCAGAGACCCCTTCAACGTTGGCCAGAATGAGACGCTGAGGCAGGAGGCTCATGAATTCAAGCCCAGCCTGAACAACTTAGCGACCTAGTGAGAACCTGTTTCAAAATAGAAAATGAGCTAGGGATGTAGCTTAGTGTGAAGGCCTCAGGTTTGACCCCAGTGCCACACCACACACACACACACACAACGTTGGCCTGATGGGCAGACGGGGAAACAGATTACAGGAGACAGCCTGCGGGACTAGAGTGATGACGAACAAGAAAACGGCGGGTACGTGAGAAAATGATGGGGCACAGGTGACTGGATGGGTGCTGGGGTCTGAAATTCATAAGGAGAATCCTAGTCTCAAGGTGCTGGTGTTGGGAGGGCCTTGCAGATGTGACCGGGCCATGAGCTCCAGGCCCCAATGGATGAGGTGAGCATCCTTCTAAGAGACCCCTGAGAGGCCCACACTGCTCCCCCACACGAGACAGGAATCTCCACCGTCTGCAGGGCCTGCAGTTGGGCTGGTGGACGGTGGGAGGAGGGTCTGTTCAGAAGGCTCCTGCGGTGGGGTTCGGTCACTGCGCCCCCAGGAACCAAAACACTGTGTAACAAGGGGCTTGGTGGGCGGATGGGAGAAGGAACCAGCACACAGACCGGTGGGTGGAGAAGGAAGTGGAGGCGGACGGATGGGCAAGCAGAGGTGGGTGAATGGAAGACCACGCAGGGGCACAGAGTCGGGTGGGTGGGAAACTGACGGGTGCGCAGGCACCAGGACCGGCAGTGAGGCAGAGACCGAGGAGGGCGGGCAGAGCTGTGAGGAGGGGGCTGGGTGGGTGGGTGCAGATGGGATAGACAGAGGACATGGGAGTTCAAAGGTCAGTGACTGCATCAAGTTGCTGGACCAGAAAGTTCGAGAGAAGCCTAGGGCATGGTGGCCCACACCTGTAATCCCAGCACTTAGGAAGGTGAGGCAGGAGCACTGGCCCGAGCTGGAGACCAGCCTGGGCTCCAGAGCTCAAGGTCAGCCTGAACTACATAGAGCCCCTGTCTCCAAAGCAAAAAAGAGAAAGGGGTCCGCGCACGGTCACTCCTGCCCCGGGTTCCGGCCACTTACCAGGCTGGAGTGCCCGGCGCCCGGTTGCTCCCGCAGGCCGCGCTTCTGCTCGGCGAGCTCCTCCTCGCAGCCCCGCAGGCCGATCTCCGACAGTCGCAGCCCGGACACGCGGCCGCGCAGCTCCTCCAGCTGCCCGCGGGGCTCGTGCTCCCGCGCCCGGTGCTCCCGCAGCCTGCGCACCGCCTCCGCGCCCTCGCGCTCGGTGCGCTCGGCTCCGGCAGACAAAGTGTGCGGCTCCGCCGACGCCTTGGGGGTACCCAGACCCCGCGCCGGGGGCCCCAGTTGGGCCAAGAGGAGGCCCGTGGCGCGGCACAGGCGCCGCACATCCCGCTCCAGCCGCTGCACCTGCGCCCGCAGCACGCGCTCCTGGCCACGCACGAGGCACAGCTGGCGCCGCTGGCTCTGCCTGCAGCGCTCCAGGGCGGCCGCCTGCAGCCCCAGCGCCTCGTCCTTGCGCCGCAGCCGCTCCCGCCACCGCCACAGCTGCTCCCGCTGCCGCTGGGCCGTGAGCTCCTCTTCCCGGACCTACAAGTTGGCGGGATGGCGGTCAGGAAGCCCCCAGGGCGCGCGATCGCTCACACGAATCCTAGCTGTACCTAACACATCCATAGCTGAGCGCAGTGCCGGTTACTGCATTAAAATACTCCATCAAAACAGCACGGTATGTATTTCGAGGGCCGAGGGCTTTGCTTCTCTCTAACATTTTGCTCACGAGCCAAGAGCCACCTTTTTACCCCAGCCTAGTCCTGGCCTTGCATCCCCTTGGGCTCCTCAGTTCTTGGAAGGGAACCGCGCAGATAGCTGGAGGAGCAGGAGAGCCGAGGAGCCACCCCAGAACCACACACCCACACCACTTTGCAAATTCCAGAGCCGTTCAGAGCTCCCTGTTCCTCCAGATGCCCTGCCCAGCCAGGGGCAGCTGGCCCTGCCACCAGGTCACAGCAGCTGTCGTGACTGGGAGCGAGAGACTGTCACAGGCCCCATGAGACACACACAAATGACCGGCGCAGTATCACAGCCAGACCGAAGCCCACCATAAGGTTTCTCCTTTCCCATCTGACCCCTGCCTGTCCCAGAGATACACCTCCCCACCCCCAAGCTGGGAGCTGGCCTGGGGTGCACCACGACCCCAAATGCTGGGAGTCTGCCTGATTTTCAGAGTTAATTCAAGTAAAGAAGTGAAAGGATCTCTCTGTTTAGCTCTCTCTCTCTTCCCCTCCCGTTCCCTCCTTCCCTCCTTCCCTCCTCCCCTCCCTCTCTCTTCCTTTCTCTTTCTTTTATTTTTATTTATTTTTGCAGTACTGGGGATTGAACCCAGGGCCTGATGCACGTGATTCAGGCATTTTACCACTGAGCTACATCCCCAGTCCTTTCTATGTTTTTTTTTTTGTTTTGTTTTGTTTTGTTTTTTTGAGACAAGTTCTCCCTAACTGGCCACAAACTTTTGATCCCCCTGCCTCAGCCTTCTGAGTACCGGGGACTGGAGGTGTGCGCCAGCTCTGCACGGAGCTCTCTTCCAGCTGCTAGCACCTGCTGCTCTGGCCTCTGAAGAGCGTGGAGAGCTTGCAGGAGACACAAACAAGCAGACAGCAAACAGGAAAGAGACCGCTTGGGGAAGAGCTCAGGTCGGCTTTGTTTGATAGCTTTTTTGGCAGAGCCAAGAGGCAGATTAAAACTAGTCAGAGTCTCAGGAAGGAAAGCTGCCCCAGTTCCCCAAGTCGCACGGGCCGGGTGGCTGGGGCGCCGCGGCCGGGGTGTGTGAGCCCTTGACAGCAGGCAGAATGAGCCCAGGTCACAGAGAAAGGCGGTGTCTGTGTGCACACGCCACCTGGGAACACGGACAGCGGAGCAGCACTGTCCCTTGGTGCACACTGGGGACACAGGGCACGGAAAGCTCATCCACACGCACCTAGGAAGTTTATGAGTGTGATCACAGCATACAGTGAGAGATTTTTAGGTGGACAAAAGTTTATTTCTAAGGCAGTTCATCCCAGGGTTCACTACATTAGAGAAAAATTGGGAAGAAATAGACTTGTATAGAAATTATGATAAATTTCTATATTTTTACAATACTTAAAATGGCATTGCAGAAAACTATTTTAATAACTATGAGAGTTTAAATACATTTCTTTTGTTTTTTGAGACAGAATCTGGATATGTAGTTCAAGCTACCTTTAAACTCACTGTGTAGCCCAAACTGGCCTTGAACTCTCAGCAATCCTCCTGCCTCAGCCTCCTGAGTGCTGAGATTACAGGCGTGTGCTACCACGCCCAGTATAAATACATCTCTTAAAATTTACTACAGTAAAAAACACATTGCCATTAACTTCCCTCAAAGAACTCCTTCTTACTTTGAGCACACTCATGCAATCATTCGTGCCACTTTCCGGGGCAGTTCTGGAGGTTCACTTTCCTGAGTGTCATTTCATGGCTATCTTTATGCCCTGGATTGATTCAAAATGTTTATAGCAATTTGAATCAAATAAAAACATAACCATGTGTCCTCGTCCACCTTTTTTCACCAGATCTGGCACCATGTGACTTCTGGCTCTTCCCCAAAGTCAAAATGACTGTGACAGGAGTACATTTTCATTCGATTCAGGACATCGAGGCAGCCACGGTAGTATAACCAAAAACACTCACAAAAGAGGACTCCAGAACTGCTTCAGAAAGTGGCAAGAGGGGCTGGGGATTTAGCTCCAGCGGCATAGCGCCTGCCTGGCAAGCGCAAGGTCATGAGTTTGATTCCCGGTACCGGAAAAAAATCAAAAAAAAAAAAAAAGAAAAGAAAAGAAAGTGGCGAGAACAGTGAAAACAATGAGAGAAGCATGTTCAAAGGAAGGGGGGGCTTTGCGGGGGAGTCATGGCAATGTGTCTTTTGCTGTAATAATTGTTAAAAATTTAAACATTCCTTGTATTTGTTTATCACACCCTGTCCTTCAGAATACAGGTGTCTCCGGCAGGAGACTGGGGCGCTGGCCTGTGGCCGGGCTGAGGGGTAGCAGAGGGTCCCTAGGCGAATCCCCATGTTGCTCTGAACTTCTGCCCCTCTTCCGGAAATGGGACTGGTGACAGGCCAATTGCGGGTTCACACACATGCAAGAAGGCTTAACATTGTCCTACAGAAACACTGGCCCTTCCCAGCCGGTCACCCCTGTGCCCTGTGCAGGGCTATCACCCCTGCCCTCGCCTCCGCCACGCCGTGAACTGCTCTACTGCAGGGCTGCACCAGCGCCACCTTGGAAACGCTCTGAAACCTCATCACAGTGCTTTCCATGTAAAATTCCCCTCTGGACAGAAGGGAGCAGGTGCCGGGAGCCAAGGAGGAAACAGGCTGGACTCCACACGGAGGGCCGTGCACCAGGCTGGACATGCCCTTGGCACTCAAAGGACTCAGTGTGCTGGATCCCCCCTCCCTCCCCTCCCCCATCGCTTTCCCCTATGCAATTAAAGTGACTGTCTGACCGTGAGTGTCCCTGCTCAGGTCCCCCACAGCCCACTGCCCCGGCCTCCGGAAGGGCGGCCCTGCCAGCGCCTCTCCCCGCTCTCAGCCCCGCACGCTTCTTCCACCCCCACTGCCCCGGCCTTTGTGCACATCGTGCCCCACCCACCCTGCTCGGCCTTCCTGACACAGCCTGGTTCTTCGTAGCCCACTTCCACCCCGCCCCACACACGCTGAGCATCGTGCTCACACCCCTCTCGGCCCCCAGCCCCAGGTGTTTTGTTTTGTTTTGTTTGTTTTCATTTTGATTTTGGTTTTTTGAGACAGGGTCTCACTATGTAGCCAGGCTGGACTTGAACTCATGGTGATCCTCCTGCCTCGGCCTCCCAAGGACTGGAATTATAGGTATGAGCAACCACGCCTGGGTCACCAGCCCCCACTTTTAGGGTTTTTTGTTTCTCTCATTGCTGAAGACAAGGACCACATCAGCATCTCCTGTCCTGGGGCCCAGAGGCCATGACGATGAGCCTCTGAGAAGGGCCCTGCAAGCACACGGCTCCACGGGCTGCCCGGGGCTACGCCACCTGCCCGCCCCAGGGCTTGCAAGGCCTGCAGAGCAGGACCGGATCCCACTTCCTGGGGCAGCCCTGGCTTCACAGCTGGGACAGGAATAAACCGCAGGAGCGGGAGGGACGCGGGGACACGTACCCGGCTGGCCAGCTCCATCTGCAGCGCCCGCAGCTGTTCGTGGGCGCGGAGCCCCGCGCTGCGTTCCTGGACCAGGCGGGTGCTCAGCGCGTCCACCCTCCGCAGCAGCTTCCTCTCCGCCAGCTCCAGCTCCTGGACCCTGCAGCCAGAGTGGGGAGGTTTGCTCAGCACAGGCAGGTGCGACCCCGGCACCACGCAGGGGTCATGTTCCCTCATCGCGTAGCTAAGCCACTGTCCTGACAAAACTGCATTTTTAAAAAACGTTCCTGTCATGTTAAAGACCATCTCCAGGACTTCAAAGCCATCATTAGAATAATAAATAAGGTGCCAGGTGTCAGAATCTAAAACATCTTCACACTCCTCAGCCAGTAATCCCACGTTCCTCTGAGTGGAGCCGGGTAGGCTGAGAGCTGTATCTACATTTGCTTCAATTAATCCCACATTACCAGCCATTGGTGGGGCAGATAACCCTACCCCTTCTTCCCAGGGAGCAAACTGAGGACCAGAGAGGCCAGGCAGTTTCCCCAAACCCACACAGCCCTGTAGAACACTTGCGCTTTTAACCCTTTCTGTGCTGCCTCCCCTTTAGCTGCATTCATGGGAATCTCTTCTAAGGAAATGATCAGAATTCAGGAAAAGGCTGCAGTGAAAAGAAAATTACCTCTCTATCCTTCACATTTCCAAGTGAGCAGGGGACATGGCCTGACTGTCCAGCAGTGCAGAAGGCCGCAGCCCCAGGGGCTCAGTCCTGTCCTGGCCAGAAAAAGCCAGACATTGCCCAGTCCCCTGAGGGTGCCAGCCTTGGCGCTGTCACAAGAAACCAGGGTGCACATTGGGGTCCTTTTCCCAAGTCCAGGCCAGGGGCCCTGTGCACCCAGGATGGACACCCTGCATGCACGCATGCACACATGCGCACACGTGTACCTGAGCTCTGCAAAGACCCAGCCAGCCGCAGGGCTTTGGCCGGTCTTGTGCACTTTAGGACCCTCAGGACCTTTACCTGTGAAACAGAGGTGCCCCGCCTTGCTCCCCAGTTGTTCTGAGGAATAAATAAAAGGAGGCATTACTATTGATAATTAGCCCCGCCCAGGAGGGTCAGGAAGTGACCAGAGGGCTTATGATCCCCCTGGGGCTCGATGGTGATCTGGCCCCTTCCAAAGTGAGCAGAGGACTAGTCTGGCTCCCCCGTGTGGAGTCAGGCCGGGCCTTCCTGTCGCTAACACGGCCCGATGAGAACTGAAGGGGAAAGAAGGCCTTTCCTGTTTTGAAAGCAGCCAGCAGCAGAAACTGCGGGGCAAGGCTCAGTTCTGACCCTGCGGCCGCACTCGAGCTGAGCAGAAGCTCCCTCGTCACTGCGGCCCCCAGGAACGGGACGCAGAACGGGCCGCCCCGTGCTTCAGTCCAGGCTGGGAGCAGGAAGCATCTCAGAAGACACAGGGACAGACCCTGGGACAGAGCAGCCCAAGACACTTCAGCGAGAGCCCAGGGAGCCCCATTTCCAACTTCCGCCCTCCAGGCTATGAGGGAATCCTCGTGGGCACACGGTGGTCATTTCTTACAGCTGCCGCAGGGGACACACGCTACCAGGATGGACCAGCAGTGGGGTGCCACGTTCTCACCGATTAAACCATGGCAGGTTTTTAAAACATCAACAGGCATTGCAATACCGAGTGCTGCGGAATTGGGAGAATGTGTCACGCCAAAGGTCCTGTCCAGGATAGGTCACCCAGGAGACGTCCCACTGCCCCAAGTGGCCAGGGACGGCGGGATAAGTCACTTCACTCCCGGCTCTTGGGTCCCCATCGATCGAACGAGGAGGACACCATCACCTCCTGTTCAGTGTTGTCTCAAGGACTAACCGTGCTAACACTCGTCCCACACCAATGCACTCAGGGAGAGCTTCACGGTGGAGAATGCTGTCGGCTTTCTAGGACAACAGTGTGCAAAGAGGGGCCTGCTATGAAGCTGGGAGTGCAGTTTTTCTGTCCCAGTTTTTTAACAGTGCTGATGCACTTTTTTAAAAATAAATACTTTTTTTAAGTTCTGACTCTTCCACTGAAGTAAATCCAATGCATAAGACCTTTAGTATCCCCCGGCTAGACCAAAGCCAGAGCTGAAATTAACCCGAAATCTGCCTTCAGAATTCTGCTCTGGGTGACACTGGACAATGGATTCCACCCTCCCAGACTCAGTTTCCCTACCTGTAAAGGAGATAGTGGCACTTCTGCATGATAGGACTCAAGGGAGCGGGGCAGGGCTTTCCTCCTTCACCCACCATGAATCTGATCGCCTCACCCTGGACCCTCTCCCACAAGATGTGACCGATCTTCAGAGAGACCACAGACGCGGTCCACTGTCCCCGCCAGCCTGAGGCCCCTCCTCCCAGTGCTCATGGCGTCCGCAGGCCTCTCCCCCACAGGGGTCTCCCTTCCCCCTTGAACCACTGCTCTTTCCTCTTCCTTCTCAGGAGGAAGTGTTGTCTGCACCCCGGGTGCCTACAGTCCCGGGACTTGCTCTGAGCTGACTTCCTGTCATCCTCACATTCTGCATGCAGAAGTCCCAACCCTCAGGACCCCAGAAGCCACTGTGCTGGGAGACAGGCCCTTGGGGGGGGGTGATTTCATTACGGGGAAGTCACTAGGGTGGGCCTTATCCCATGTGCCCAGGGTGCCCACAAGAAGGAGGGGTGGGGACACAGCGGGGAGAACACATTCGGGCAGGAGAATTGGCATCTGCCAGCCAAGGAGCAGGGCCTCAGGAGGAGCCTCCCTCGAGCTTGGGCTCCAGGCCTCCAGAAATGTGAGGAAACGCATTCGGTTAGGTGGCAATCTGTGGCACTTGTTCTCGAAGCTCAAGCCCAGGCAAAAGAGCACAACTTCATGACTCCGGCTGCAGAATGAATGAATGAATGAAGGGCAATCACATAGCAAAAGAGAACAAAAGAATTTTTCTGATTTGTGGATTTCTTCATGTAAACAGTTTGACCAAGGTGAAAAACGGTGCATCACATGTAGATGCAGTTAATGACTTGCCTTTATTAAAACAAAGGCAAACACTAGAAAACAGAGAAGTCCCACAAAAACCCGAGGTGCTTGGTTGCTGGGATATGAGTAAAGCCACCAGCAGGGACCCAGCCAGAAGGGCACCGGGGGGCCCCGTCCTGGCCACGGGTCAGGACATCGTTGGGGGCTCGGAGCGGAGCTGAGCTGTAGAGCGCTTGCCTTGCAGGTGCAGCCCCGGGTTCCATCCCCAGCACTAGAGAGAAGACAAGGAAAGAATGAGAGGGCGCGGGAGAAGAGATGGAGGAACAGTGGAGGGAAGAGAGGAAAGAAGGAAGGAGAGAGGGAGGGAAAACAGATGAAAGGAGGAAGAGGAGGAGGGAGGGTGGGATGGAGGGGAGAAGGAAAGCCTGGGCTTTGGAGAACAGCCCAGAAGAAACACCACCCTGGGATATGTCACCCTGTCATGGAAGCAGAGCCACAGCAGGGCTCAGTGGAGAGAAACAAGGCGGAGCTCCTAGCATGAAGACAAGAAGACAGGGAAGGGGCAGAAGGCAGACAGAGACACCAGCCACCCAAAAGAGCAACTCGGGGGCCAGGCCACCCAGCAGGGCTGGGGTCACAGAGGAGGCACAGCCAGGGCAGGAGGAGGAGACACCTGGTCTCTGTCCCACCCCTCCCTCCGGGTGCCTCTCTCTGGCTGTTCCCACGGAAGCAAGGAACTGGGAGACCGCTGTAGAGAGAGAACAGAGGGTGGGAAGGCCGGGAGGCCAGGGCAGCGACCACCCCTGGCAAATAGTCCCCCAGCGGGAGAGATGGCGCCATGTGACACCGTGTGCAGCTGTGACGCCCAGCACTTGTCAAGCATGGACAGCAGCCCACAGTGGCACACGTACCTGCTCCTCAGCTCGGGGGACTCCCGTGGGACGTGCTTGTCCACCGCTGCCACCAGCTTCTGCTCTGAGGACTCCAGCTGCTTCCTGAGCCTACGGGTGTCCACATCTGGGCCGCCAGCCACTTCCTCCGGAAGACGTCCCTGTTCCCCACCGCTGTCCTCTGCGTCCCGGAATACCCAGGACGTGTCGATTTTCACATCGATATTCATGACATCAAGCCCATCGCTGCCGGGGACCCTGACGACGTAGCTGAAACTTTTCTCAGCCTGTCCTTGGGAGGTGGGCTCCATCCCGTGAATATTTCATGGGTGGAGACTTAATAAAATTAAGCGAAGTCACATTATGGAGTTTCTGGAGATTTTGAGGTGGCCACGGGTCCTGCAGATTGCTCAGGAAAATATCATCTGAGGAGCGCAAGAACAGGTGGATTATTCATGAGTTGGGGCTCGGGTTTCATTGGCACAAACCTCATACAATATGGAAGAGGCTCTCATTTTACATGTGCGTGTGTCAAAACTCACCCAATGGGAGGACACAGCACTGAAAAGTCAGCTAGGATCAAATGTTAACACCGCACACAAAGAAGAAAAATCAGATCTCCAGGCAGGACCATCAGAGTGTCACAAAGTCTTCATAGCAAGTAGAGCTCAAGTTTCTACCCTATAATGAAAAATGGTCCACACCTCCGGTCCTCCATGATATGTGCTGAAACCTATTTATGGAGGACCTGGGGTTTGCTAGGGGAAGGGAACTGAAACCAACACTGCCCTGGGCTTCCCTTCGTGCCCTACCTGGTCCAGTTCTCCTGGTGGCCCTACAGGGGATCAACATGACCACTTTACAGAAGGCAGAAGGAAGGCTCTGGCAGCTGGAGGAGTTTGTCCTGGCCCCACAGATGGGATGGAACATGACACAATCAGGGTTCAAACCCAGGTCTGACTCCAAAACTGAGAGACCAGGTCCTATTTTGGGACCTACAACTCAGGCGTGGGACAGGACAGGCCCCAGCACAGGGGAAAACACAAGGCTGGGAGCCACAGATTCTCCCAGAGCCCAGAGCGGGGAGGGAGCCCAAGGCCAAGGGCCACAAGAGGCAGAGGTGGCTGAGGCCCTCGGGTGCAACTCTCAGGCCACAGCCACGTGAGATGGGGTAGCTGGGTGAGGCTGGCCCAGCGCACACATGGGGTCTTGGGACCAATGTGCCACTGCAGATTCAGCCCTCTGGGTTTGCAGGGCTGGGAAGGAAGAACCCAAAAGCAAGGGCAGGGCAGCTAGGATGAGGGAAATAGTACAAGTGAAAACTCAACACCAGAGGCTGAATTCTCCCTGCGAAAATGATGGAAGAGACCCCACGCACTCCATTTCTTTAGAGCATTTAAAACCCATGCCAAATTTTTTCTTGATCTCTTGGAAATACAGCCCTCCTGTGGTGTCTGCGGGGGACTGGAGCGGACTCTGGGGACTCACCCGAACATACAGTCTTTCCTCTTTGTGCACATTGCCATGGGTCTCATTCCAAGTGACTTTTCTGGGGCTCTTTTCTGCTTTGGGTGAGCTCTGGCATCCCAGGACACCCACAGCACCACTGCCCACAGGGCTCAAGTCCCTCATATGAAATAGCGCAGTGTTTTCATAGAAACTGCACAATCCCCCCGCATCCTGTAAATCACCCCCAATGACTACAGTACCTGATACATGACTCCTAAAGTGATGCCAGTGCTGTGTACAGCTGTCACGCAGCATTGTGTAGGGAATAAGGGCTAGAGAGAATCTGTCTAGGCTCAGTAGAGGCACGGCTGTCTTCACATATTTCCTGCCTGCAGCTGGCTGGATCCAGAACGAGGAACCGTGATACAGAGGGCTGAGCATCTGCGTGAATCTTTCTTAAGGCTAAATAACCTGGCACCAGCTTCCTGATCTACCAAAGTCTTCCTCAAGGAGCTGGGAAGCAAGCCCTGCCGTAGGAGGGTGACACGGCAGCTGAAGGCCTAGGACCACTAGACCCTCACCAGGGGCCACTCCAGCCCTCTCCCCGCATCCTCCCTCCTCCCAGGACAGAGAGGCAGCTGGCTCAGTCCTCTGCCTGGGAAGAGAGGGAGAGAGAGAGAGGCCAGGATGTGCCTCACTGGCCCCTGGACTGTCCAGAGGGAGGCCAAGCTCACAGCCTCCAGGCTGCACTGACCAGTGGGCCCTGGGCAGGGACAGAAGCAGACAGACAGGGAGAAGCTGTGAGGACAGGGCCTGTGCTCCTGGGAGCCTTGGTGATGGACATCCTCACTGCTGGGGGTGATCCCAGGAAGGATATAAGCAGTGGTGGAGAGCCAGGCTCGGAGCCTAAGGACCCAGGACCTGCAGCCCCGGCAATGCAAGGAGGCAAGGCAGGAGGGAGGCCCAGGCGCTGAGACCAGGTCTTCACCTGCCACAGAGGGGACTCGGGCATGGGCTGGGGTCTGCAGAAGCCCCCACCAGTACTTAGGCAAGCTGAGGGAGGAAGAAGTCGCCATGCTGGCTGTGGGGGCCTTTCCGCTCCATGGGGCTCCCTGGAATGGTTATATCTAGGTGTCCCCCAAGGGGGTCATGTGCTATGATCATAGGGGGAACTTTTGGAGGTGATGGATGCTGGGGCTCAGAGCTGACCGCCGGGAGGAGGTGCGGCCTGGTGGAAGGGGCAGCCCCGGGGGCGGGGCCTGGTGGGAAGAGGCGGCTCCGGGGGCGGGGCCTGGTGGGAAGAAGCGGCTCCGGGGGGCGGGGCCTGGTGGGAAGAGGCGGCTCCGGGGGCGGGGCCTGCAGGGTTCCTCTCCGTCCTGGCTCCTCCCTTGCTCTGCGCTTCCTGTGTTCTACACCGCGAGTGCTCTCGTCCACCGGGCGCCTCTGCCGACCACGCAAGGACTGGAACTTCTACAGACTATGAGCCAAAACGAACCTCTCCTCCTTTAAGTTGTGGGTGTCGGGTGTTTGCCCAGCAATGAGGAACATGACCTAAGACCCACTCTCAACAGGTTCCGGTGGCAGGTAAGAAATAAACTGACGTCAGCCCTCCGAGTTTGTACTGGGGGTGTCAAGGGGAGCCCCCTGGGACCCGGTGGTTATGGGAGTCGGGGACGGTGGTAACCGCTGAGCCCTGACCTCTGGAAGGGAGAAAGTCAGAGTGGACGCAGCCCTGCCCAACGCGCTGCCGCAAGCTGCCGGTGCTCGGGGACCTCGGGCTGGGCCCATTTGAAGCACAGCGGCCTGGCTGACTGCTCCTGCGCCCTGCCTAAGGGTCACAGGCCACTCTGAGGCCAAAACCTGCCCAAGAGCAGTCGGGCCCCCAGAGTGAAGGGCATCACAGTGTGGGGAGGCTCCCTCGTCCCGGCTTCCCTGTCCCTGCCCGCGCCGGCTGCCACTGGCCGGAGAGGACAGAGGTGTAAGGGCGAGAAGAGGAAACCCACGCCCGCAGGCTGCGCGGGGAGGGTGGGAAAAGGCCCACAGCCCTCTTCCTTACAGCTGGAGAAAGTGACCTTGGGGTTGCCCTGGAAGCTTTGCTTCCCTGGGAACTGCCTAGGCGTTGCTAGGCAACACAGCACTGAGGCTGCGCCTCACCTGGATGCAGGTGTTGTGGAGGGAAAGACCGTACCTGGTGACCCTCAGCTCTGCAGCACCCCAGGCATGTGACTCTTATACCCAGGCCTGTCCCCAGCAGGGACCTGGGATAGTGTCAAGAAAAGCTGGCTCCCTACGAGGAGCTCGGGCTCCAGGGGCAAGCAGCGTGCACAGCTGCCTGTGTGTGCCTCGCTCCCCGGGCTGAGCTGTCGCCTGGGGCCAGATGTGGCTGTCGTGACCCCGGCTGTGTGGCTGTTAAGAGGGTGGCCCATGTCTGACGCAGGGAGGTAGCCCGGCTGGGAGCGACCAGCTGCATCTGACTGCAGACCTGGGCCACTCGGTCACACGTCGTCTGAGTGGGACAGCCAAGCGGACAGGGATGCTGTCTTGTTCCTCGCAGGCCAGGGACAGGAGGGCCTGAGGACCTCAGTCCCGCGGAGTCCCACAGGGACACTGGACAGACCTCCATGCCGCAGGAGCAGAGAGCCACGGGCTCCTCCGTGACAGCTCCACACTGAGATGTCCTTCCTCTGGCCAGGGCCCACACAGCCTGCCACAGCCTGGATTTCACACAGGACATCACCACCCCGGCATCTGGCCCCTGAGTCTTGGTTCACCGTGGCTGGGCTCGTGGGTGGTTCGAGGTTTGGGTTTCAACAGAGATCAGCACATCTCAGCTGTCCCCGCTGCGTCTGCTTCGAGCCCCGAACCCTTCTGTGCACAGCTCGTGTCCTCCCTTCTCCGCCCTTGCAGCAGGCCTTCTGGAGACGTGGTTTTCTCTTGGCAGTCAGAGTCTCGGTCGTTTCTGTTTCCTCCAAAGTTTGTTGTCTCAGGACATCATGAGCAGCTCCACAGCCAGCAACACGACGCTGTGTCCTGGTCTGCAGCTGGCCCCTCCGTGTAGCATGTGTCCCCTCCTTCACGCTCACACCCCTCACGTACGCCCTGTAGACCGACGGCCAGCGTCCTCCCTGCCGAGGCCTAGCGGGCACCTTCCGGGGCCCTCACCCCACCCCAGCACGATGGGAGGAATGACACTCCAAGGTCGTTTGTCTCTTCTCTCCTCTGGATTTCCTCCTGGGTCCACTTCCAGCAGCTGGTGTCCAGCCATCCAGCCTGCCCTGTGCCCACTCTCAGGGGCGTCCACCACCCCCAAAACGCTCCTGCTCCGGCCAGGATTCAGGGTCCTCCCTGTGTGACGTGGCAGTGCCCCAGCTCTGGCAGGAAGGAGCCTCTTTCTCCAGGGGCTTCAGAGGCTCCCTCCTCGGTGGCCCCTTGCAAGCCGTAACCGGGTCATGAGACGGGGAGTGCCCTCATCCGGCGGTGTCTGCTCTCAGTCCTCAGTGCACCTGGCCCTAAGGACATTGTTCTTGGGCTTTTGCTGTGCCACTCCTATAAGAGCAGCACATCCTTTGGCTTCTCATGGGCGTCTGGGGCCCCGGGGGCCCTGCCTTCCACCTCCACAGGGCTCCAGCTGTCTCTCCGGCCGCGGCTGTTGCCATGCCCGGTTTGGAGGGTCCTGGTGACGGGGCCCAGCTTAGGGTTCCGATCCAGGGACATGTGCGTGTCGCCGTGGCAGACAGGCTCTGGGATACACACGTTCGTGGGATTTATGTACACAGGGCAGAGGGGCTTCTGTGTCCAGCTGCGCATGCCCCGCAGCCAGGGGAGGCACGTGCATGGGGACAGGGACCCGAGCCTGTCCCTGCCACGCAGCGGCTCTCCAGCCCCTGGTGTCTGATAATTGCACTTAGTTTCCTGGCGTTCGGGTCTCTGCCCCTTGGGCTGTTGAAGGTGCTGCGGCTAGGACACAGCTGTGACTCCGAGGATGCCGCGGCCCCCCTCATCCCTGCTGGCCAGGATCCGGCAGGACATCCAGAAGGCCTCCTGTTAGAGCTGTTGTCAAATAAATGTGAATTCTGTTTCCAGTCTCTGGACTTTGAATAGCTTGTTTCGCTGTTGAGTTTTGGTTTGAGTGGGGTTGGGGTGACCGTAGGGATTCAGTTTATGCCATAAGCTCTTTTTCTGTCCTGTAAGATTAAGCACAATTGGGAGTGGCACCATGACCAGGGATTAAAGTGGCCCCACCCACCCCATATCCCCCGGGAAGAGGAAGCAGGATTCGGGGCACCCGTCCTCCACCCCACCCCAACCTCATACCCCGCACCCCCCATGAGGGGGCTGGGTGTGCATTGTCCTGAGACCCGAAGGCATGCCCTCATTTACTCCACAGTGAGGAAGAGCCACCACCTGCCAGCCCGTCCCCGCTCTGGGACAGAGGTACCAGACCCATGCACCACGGGCAGGGTCCGCATCAGGGATGCTGGGGACATCAGGCAGGGCTGGCGTCAGAGCTCAGCATGTGGTGTCAAGACATCTAATGGGCACTGGTGGTCCCCAAGCTGGGGACCTCAGGCTGGGCTGGGTCAGGCAGAGCTCTAGAATCTCTGGGTCCTTGCAGACCCCACCCTGCGATGGGTGCTCAGCACAGGGAGCGCGTGGCAGGGCCTGGATGTTGGGGCAGAGACTCAGGATTGCAGCTGGGTGCTGGGGTCACAGGGCCCAGCAGTCAGGGAGGGACGAGATGCCAGGATGGCTTCACTCTGGCAGTCCCCGAGCAGAGACAGGCATCTGAACCACGCATGGGGGCGAGGGCAGTGGAAGGGGCAGGGTGCTGGGTGCCTGGGTCCTGGGCAATGTGCAGGCAGGTCAAAATCTGCGCTCATGAGCCACTTGCCTTCCACCCTCCTGCTTCTGCAGACCCCTTACCCTGGAAACCTGCTCGCTCAGGACCCTACAGAAGATGCACTGGTCCCCTCAGCCACGGAGAGGACGAGAGGCTGAGCAAATTGGAAGGAGCCTTTGGGATAAAGCAGAGACCCCTCTACAGGTGAAACCATGAGAGAGCCTTCTTCTCATCAAGCCCCCCATCTTCCTCCCACAGTGGGACTCCCAAGGACCCCCAACCCCCGGACCAAGGAGCCAGGAGCCGAGGAACCCAGCCCCAGCCACATTCCCAGGCCCTGGTCCCTTGAGGAAGGCTCGGCCAGAGCTGGGAGGGGCCCCGCTGGGCTAGGAAGCCCTGGATGTACCGGGGGAAGGAGCGGATACCAACCCGAACGCTCAGCTCCCTGCAGTCATCAAGGCCACAGAATGAATGCTAGTGAGAAAAACAAAAAAAGGAACAAAAACTATAACATAAGACCAAAAGAAAATGAGGAAAAGAAAAGAAAAAAGAAAAGAAAAGAAAGCGAGATGTAAGACACGTGGCATGAGCTCAATGACAGCATCTTACTAGAACTGTGATACTGGGCTGGGTGCAGGGAGGAGCAAGAAGAAGCAGGCTTCAGGAGCGGTGTGCACCTGGGCACCAGCCTCCGGCATCCCACACTGAGTGGGTTGTCCCTGCACACTCCCCAGCGCCCTGCCAGCCCAGGGTGCAAGGCACCGGCCGCACCACTGGCCGGGACTTCAGTGCTGGCACTTGGCCAGGCCGGACGGGGTAGAGTGTGGGCACCCAAACTTCCAGCTGGCCTGGGCCACGCTGAGAGAAGAGGAATTGTCTTGGGCCACATAAAAAATATACAGTTAATGTTTATAAGCAACTAAACTGCTTTTTTTTTTTCTTTTTGAGACAGGGTCTTGCTATGCAGTTCAGGCTGGCCTTGAGCTTACTTTGTAGGCCAAGCTGGTCTCGAACTCACAACGATCCTCCTGCCTCAGCCTCCTGAGTGCTGGGATTACAAGCGTGAGCCACCACACCTGGCTCAAAACTGCTTTTTATATTGCTTATTATAACATTTAAAAAAGAGGGCAACAGAAAGCTAGTGGGATATTGATCTTGTTTTACTGAAATAATGCACCCATGATTGCTTCGATGGAAGTTGTAATTGTCAGGAAGTTCTCTGTGTGTGCGTCAGAAATCTTTGACCTGCTTTGGTGCTTCATGAGCTTTCACCTTGAGAACTGGTCCTCACAAATATACCAACTGCCAAATAGCGAAGATGGGACTACGGTGTGACTGTGAGACAAGGGGCTTTCTGTCTGGGAAGACAGGGAAGGGTCTAGCAGTAAGACACAATCAGATTTTTCTTTTGAGTTGACTGTCCCACTGCAGCTTTATGCATTTCAAACATTAATAAACAATTCTTTTTTTTTCTAATATTAGTGATGTATGTGTGACTATAACAATATTATGAACAAAAACCTACTTGAGACATTTTTGTATTTCCTATACCACAGCTGCCCAAAAACCACTTTAATTTATTATTCTATGAAATAACACAAGCCCAACTTCAAGAATTTAAAAAAATGTGTAAGACTGCTTCATACCCATAAAAGCCCGTCTGCACGGGAATAGTCATGGGTAGGAGGACTGAAATACTCTGTCTTAAAGTCTCACAAGGTCCCACAAGAACACGAGAGTTTTGATTGGGCCAACTGTGGATCCTCAGCTGCATGGCGACCACCATCGCCCACGAAGTCTGCCCTCGAGCACTGCACAACTGAATCATGAAAGATATTTCGGGGAAGCATCACATAATAATGTTGAAAGTTATGATTTTGTGGGGCTGCTGTCCACGGCCACACGAGCCTGTGGGCTGGGGCTCGGACACCCCTGGGACAGAGGCAAGAACCCTTCCAAGGTCTCTGTTGGCTCCAAGAATCCTGGGCATGGCCTGCACACCAAGGTCAGGAGAGAAACCCTCCAGCTTGTCCATCCAACTCACAGAGAAGCAAGCCCTCCTGCCCCATCCCTGCTGGCTTCTTCTTCCAGGATATTCAATATTGAAATTATTTTTCTTTATTTAAAATCTTTTTTTTTTCATTCATTGGTCTTAAAAATATGAAAAAAGTAGCCTTAAAGAAATTAAAAACCACACAAGTCGGCATAAAAGACTATTTTTTTTTTGAGACAGGGTCCCACTATATAGTGCAAGATGGCCTTGAACTCACTTACGTAGCCCAGGCTGGCCTCAAACTCACAGGAATCCTACTGCCTCAGCCTCCCGAGTGCTGGGATTATAGGCCTGTGCCAACCCTCTCAGCTAAGACTATTTTTTCTTTGTTTATTCATGACTTGCTTCATTAACACAGAATTGCTGAGCATTTGATGAAACACATCACATTACCTGGGGCTCCTGAAAATAATTCTTTCCCCCTCAAACAAGGTAATAGCACCCCCATACTGTATAGTGACAAAAGTAAGCTCCATACAGCCACTAACTTCTAGTAGGGTCTCGGAAAGTGAGAGCTGGAAGGGCCACTGGAATCACCCTGCCCCTCATGTTCTACATGGAGAAACTGAGGCACAGGAGGGGCAAGATCTTGCTAAGGCCACCCGGCAGGGTGTAGCCAAGCGTCTCTAGCCACTGGGGGAGAGACAGACGAGCCCCCGAGGATGGCAGCCAGTGTGCGTGGGGAAACGCAGGAGACAAGGAGGCCTCTCCAGGAGCCCCGGCTGCCTCTCCCTCCTGCCCCTACACCCGCTGGCACGACCCCCTGCTGGCACAAAGGAGGCAGAGCAGCCCACACACAGCTGCTTTCGGAAGAGAGTGAAGAGCCAACAAGCGAGCCAAGCATCTCTCAGTGTAGTTTAGACCTAACTGTCCCTAAAGCCTCCCACGCTCACAGGCAGGGCTTTTGGAAGGTAAGAGCCTGTGAGGGTGCCACAGCTGCCTTCCACAGGAGGCGGGGCCTGGCAGCAGAGGCGGTCCCGGGGGCGGGGCCTGGAAGGGTTCATCCCCCTCCCCCTCCCGGCTCCTCCCTTCTCTCTGCTTCCTGCTCCCCACGCCATGAGCAGCTCCTTCAGCCAGGGCCCTGTGCCCTGCATCCCGCCTTGGAGCCCGCTGACTGTGGACTGGAACATGACCAAAATAAACACGCCCTTCCTTAAACTGTGGGTATTGTGTCCCAGCAACACACAAGTGACTAAAACCCCGGGTATCCTCTTCCAGCCAGTATGGAGCCCCTGTCACTTTGCATGCGTGCCTTTCTCACCTAAGTTTTAATTTTCATCCGCTAAGACAATTGTGGCCATGTTTTAAGCCTTTTTTTGACCCATTTGGTCATCAAAGTCACTAAGCTGCTGGTTGACCAGAAGTACCTCATTCTTTCTTCAGGAGAAGAGTAAAACTGGGCCCTGTCCTTGGGGACCTCACGGCCACCAGGTGCGTGCACGGGAAGCGGTAAATGCCACACAGAGTCCTTCTGCACATGAGGTCCTCCTGTGCCTGCCCCGATGAGCAGCACGATGTTGGGAGGCAGGGGGACAGCCACACACAGGGAGACTCCAGCTGTCCCTTCCCGCTGGAGGAGGGGCCAGGATTCCCATCTGCCGCAGGCCTCGGCACATGGGGCTAAGTGAAAATCCTGACCAGCCTGAGGAGGCCAGGGGAGGCCAGGGGAGGCCAGGGGAGGCCAGGGGAGGCCAGGGGAGGCCAGTCTCACTCGCTTCCAGGAGAAAAGAGACTGCATCTTCCGGAACACACAGCTAGTTCCAGGAACACACAGCCAGTTCTGGGGCACAGAAGTCATTCCCAGTGAATGAACCCCTGGGAGATGACCGTGTCTGTGGTGGAGGAAGGACAGCCTCGTCACAGCATACCCCAGTCACCTCATGCTTCCCAGTGAGGTGGCAGCAGAGGGATGGGGGGGGCGGAAAACACACACACCAGTGCACACACGCACGCACGCACACACGCAAGCACAGGGCCTGGCTCCGACAGCCCTGACAGCAGCTAAGGAGGGGTAGTCTCTACTAGTGAGCACCTGGGGAGGCTCGCATTTCCTGGGAGCGCTGATCTGAGGAGGGGCAGAGCCTCCTCGAGGGACTTCAGGAAACCATCAGGAAGGCCAAGTCCCCGCCCGGGTCTGGGGACACAGCCAGCCCCTACCTTTTCCTCCAGCTCCTTCAGGTGCCTCTTCTGCAGCTCCAGCTTGCCCTCCAAGTCCCGGATCCTCTGAAACACATGGGCACATGTCACACGGCAGCCTCTCTGGGCTGGGCCTGCGCCTCCCTCTTTCATGTTGTCCGGCACACAAGCAGTGGAACATCCAACAGGCGGTAGGCAGCGTCAGAGCCTTGCTCAGTGCACCTGCCGGTGTCGCCATCAGCCACACTGACGGGGAGGACACCCCGGCACCCCAGGGGGCCCCTGTTTTGGCTTGTATCTATGCTTTTGGGGACACCTACATGGGGCTTTTTCAGAGGTGGCTGGATCTAGAGTGTTTGATGCTGGGACTGATATGGTACAATGCTGGGATCAAGGGCACTTTTGGATCAAGGGTGTGAGTGCTACCTGCTCTGAGGAGCCTGGATAAGATGTAAGGGACAGAAAGAGCTGTGGTCCACCCTTGCTGCTTTGCTACCTTCTGCCTGCAGACACAGGTGCCCCTCTGCCATGCCAGCCTGCCTTGGAGGGTGGACTGAAACCTCTGTAAACTGTGAGGTAAATAAACCTTCCCCCCTTTAACTTTGGGCCTCAGGTATTTTGTCTCAGCAGCGAGATAAATACCTGACAGACCTGCTCCCCTCTCCTCAGAGCTCCCAAGGGAACTGTATTCTGGCTCCTGTTAAAGATGGGTGGATTTTAACTGGGCCGTGGCACACACCAGTAATCCCAGCCACTTGAGAGGCTGAGGCAGGAGGAACACAAGTTTGAGGCCAGCCTGAGCACCTTTACCAGACTCGGCCTCAAAATTTTAAAAAACAAACAAGGGCTGAGGATGTAGCTCCCTGGTATAACACTCCTGAGTTCATTCCCCAGTATGACAAAAAAAAAAAAAAAAAAAAAGTGCTGGATGGATGCTGTCTCTTCCCCAAGTTCATGGAAATAGAACTAAATGGAATGTGTGTGCTCTTAAGACCAGACCTTCCTAGAATATGAGCAGTAAGACTGAACCCAGCCCCTGGGCTGCCTGGGGCGGACTGAGACCAGAGACCAGACGTGATGCCGCACTGGGTATCTGTCACATATTCACTCAGCAGGGGGCTGCAGGAGGGGCCGGGACAGCACCAGGTGTCAGGACACCCACCCGTGCAGAGCTCCTGGGCCCTTCTCAGCTCAGCACTGAGCCCTGGACCCCTTGGCCCCAGCAGACCAGGGCGGCTGGTCACTGTTGGCACTGCACCTGCCCTCCCCCACGTCACCAACTATTCTTCCAGTGCCACTGGGGCTCTTTCCCAATCTAGTTTGCCCTGTGCTCTGGGAAGCCCATCACCCCAAGGCGGCACCCTAGCCACCTACACACACTGCCAACCTCACTCATTGAGCTCCTGGGCCGAGGCAGCCAGGCCAGGACTGGGAGGATACCCCTGGCCCCGTGGGGGTGTCAGTGCCCCCCAGAGACCTGCAGCCGTGTGGCATGGGGTGGAGACACGGGCGCCCTACCTGCTGGGCCTGCTGCAGCATCTCCATGCGTTCACGCAGGATCTGGCTGTCGAACTCACGGCTCTGCCTCAGGATCTGCCTACGCACCTTCTCCACGGCCGCCTGCAGGTCCTCGCGCTGGCCCGCGCTCAGAGCCTCGCTGGCCCGCAGGCCCGGCTCCTGCTGCAGCGCATTGTACAGTGTGGCCTCCAGGTCCTGGATTTTCTGCGAGGCCCAAATCACACAGACAGGTGCAGGTTGCAAAGGGGTGGACAGGTACCCTCAGGAGGCTGAGCCAGGAGGGTCCGGGGCAGGGAGGGAATGTGCAGGGCCAAGCAGAGCAGCAAGCATTCTGGGGGGCAGTGGGAGAACCCCCGTCCCATGCACACATCACTGGGAATGCTTCCCTCTGCATGGCCAAGCAACCCTCCTGCTTACATGGGGGACAAGGGCAAGCGGGAGAAATAACCATAACCTCCCTCCTGTGTGAACCAAAGGGCATTGGGGTTCAACTGCTTGGATTTTTGTTCTGGTGTTTGAGACAGGGTCTCACTATGTAGTTCAGGTCAGCCGTGAGCTCACAGTGATCCTCCTGCCTCAGCCTCCTGACTGCTGGGATTACAGTTGTGCACTACCACGCCCAGCTTCAAGTGCTTTGATGGGATTCTGGGCTCCTGACACGGCCTCCTCATTTTGGGAACAGAGCACACCCCGCCAAGGGGATGAGGGACCTCAGCTGCACACATTTGTTTTGGGGCTGCGCTGGGAACGTAACGTTAGCCCAAAGCAAATGCTGGCAGTGTTATAATTGCTGCTTCTCCCCCTAAAAGCCAGACACCCTGGCCAAGCAGAACAGGCCCTTGGTGCCCACTGGAGCATCCTGGGGAAGCTCGGAGGAACGTTAGATATGCAGGGAGCAGAGAGGAAGTCTCCTCTCCTGCCTCCCCTAAGTGCTCTTCTTCCTCCTCCAAGCGAGCTGCGGATGGCACAGAAGCATCGCCCCATCATCCCAGCGCTGTCCCGGGGACCCTGCGTCCACACAGCTTCAGCCCAGCAGCCCCCAAAGAGCCCACCTGCCGGCTCTGTGAGCCCTGCTCCAGCTGCAGGGGGCCGCCTAGCTCTCCAGGGGGCCCCAGGCCTGTGGGCCAAGACCGACTGACCATCATGCTCCTCTGCCCTCACCCCAGGATTGATGACAGGGGGACACGCCCGCCCAGCATGCTGAACCACAGGCGTGCCTCCGGCACCCCAGCAGAGAAGGGGCGGGGCCTGCCTATGCCCATGGGTAACTGAAGCAGGATGCAGCTCTGCATCACTGCCTTAGTTTTTGTTGTTTTTTTTTTATCACTGTCCTTGGTCACCTTGAAACCCTGGGTCACACCCTTGCTCAGGTCCACACACAGGCATGTCCATGACCACAGGAGCCTCTATCTACAGGACGCTAACAGCAGCCTGCTAGACCCGCAGAGAGCGAGCCTACCCGCCCTCCTTTCACGGCTGGCGACTCCCAGGTAAGAGGAACGAGGCATTGCCGGGGTCTGCGGGGCGTTCAGCTGCCTGTTCCAGACGCGCTGCATCTGGGCGTGGGAGCCCCAGTCACTGTCCCAAACCTGCAGCCACCTTGGATTCCGGGAAAAGCAGAGCCCCCCGGACAGATGGCCCAGGAAGAAAGTTCAGCCTCCCCTAGGCAGGAGCAGCAAATCCTCTCGTGGGCACCAGCCTGTCCCCGCAAGCCCTAGCACTTCTCCAGAGCCGCCTCCAAACCCGTCACACCGACCACGTCCTGACTGTGAGGACCTGTGCTGCTGGGCGTGCAGACCCCAGCCCTCACCTTTGCTCCTCTATTCTATAAGCCTCAACGCTTCCACCCCCTTGAGGGCCGATCTATCTCGAGCCCCAGTATCTGTGCTTCCTACGCTGACTAAAGTTTCTTTCCTGCGCTGCACCACTGCTCCTCTCCTCGACTGGCATTCGGGACAAGGGGCAAGCCTGCTCTGTCTGTCATAGGTGGGGCTTTTTCAGAGGTGGCTGGATCTAGGTGTGCAATTAATTCATGGTGCAATGCTAGGCTTGAGGGTGCTAGGATTAAAGGTGGGTCCACTGATTGGTCTGGCACTGCCCTAATCCTGGGAGCCTAAATAGGATATAAAAGAGGCAGAAAGAAGCTGCTAAGGTCCCTGGCTTGCTTTGCTATCTTTTGCCTGCCAAGAACTGTTCCTCCTCTGTGATGCCCCTCTGCCACACCACCCTGCCTTGGAGCCGGTTGGTGATAGACTGAAAGCTCTATAAACCATAAGCTACGTAAACCTTCTCCCCCTTAATTTTGGGTGTCGGGTATTTTGTCTCAGCAACGAGAAAAGTAACTGAGACAGCTGTGTCTCACAGAGTCGCTTCCTACTTGGAGTGGCCCTGAATTTGAAGTTCTCTCCAGGCTGGACACATCCCGGAAGTGTCTGCCAAATCCTGCATCACCCCAGACCAACGAGACACAGTCTCTCAGTGACAGCACATGTGCGTTTGAGAGTGAGGGCAGAGAAGCCTGAACTTTCAGCACCAGGAAGCCCAGAACCAATTTTGTGGCCCAAACACAATATTACACAGAACTTTACACCTGGTCGCTTTGACTCTGATATCATCTGACCTCACCTGCTGTACTCTGTATTTTTTGGGGAACATCTCTTTTTGCTATTTACAGGAAAACTCACTTTGGGATTTTATAAAGACTTCAACATAAACAAACATATAAGAAAGAGTTTCTTCTTGTTCCTCTCAAACAAAGACTAGAGTTTCATAAGCACATGTAGAGAAAGCATTACGGTAACTTTGAGTATGTGTGAAAACCATGATTGGTTTGGAAAACCAGCCACCTGCCAGGCTTTGTCTTCAAGGTGGAGACAGAACATTACTGCTCCCCCGCGCAGCCCAGCAAGTGCCCCAAATGTCATCCCAGTCTGCAGAGGAAAAAGCCGCCCTCTAACGGTCAGTCTGAAAAGCCAAAGTGTCACACCCACTTCAGGTCCTACCAGGTAAGCCTGGTCAAGCGCTTGCTTCCTGTAGTCCAGCTCCTCCTCCAGGTAGCCCTTCTGCCTGCTGAACAGGTCCTGAAAGACAGGGGACACAGGTCAGAGACGCAGCCAGAGCGAGCGTCCAGGAGAGCACAGGTCTCCAGAGCCCAGCTACCCTCCTTCTGCTAGAAGGGCCCCATCCCTGAGCTGGGACACCAAGTGGGGAGCTTGGTGGTCTTCCCAGCCTGCTCCTGTATGGAGCCCCAGCAGGGGCCTCACAAGCGGAGCCATCTGGGCTTTCCGTGGGAACCGTAGCCAAGGCGTCCAGCCTCGCCTGGCCTCCCTTCCTCCTGTGTGCCTTGCTTCAGTGGCGGGAACTGAGGCCAGAGGTCCAGCGCCTTGTCCTGGTGCCCCGGTGCTCTGGTGGCAGGCGTGCAGCTAGAAACCCGGGCCTGTGACGGCTGTCCCGGCTCTTCCACATCACACCAGCTCCGGGCTCTGAGCAGCCCGCTCCCGCCCTGCTTCACCTCACCGCTACTTGGAGAGCTGCAATCAGCTCTGGAGGACTCGAGCCCTTCCGGGAAGCCCCCTCTGCACGTCCTGGCCAGGTGAAACAGCTCCCTGTGCGTCATGGTACCCAGCGAGTGAGCTTCTACCACCACTGCTTGGGAGCCCAGGCGCCCAGGTGCCGAGCGCCCTGTGACACGGGTCCTGCACCAGTATCCCCCACATTCACCAGTGAGGTGCAGAGGAGAAGCCAGGTCCCCCCACACTCGTGGCTGGCAAAGATCGGAGCCATCCCAGGGTCGCCAGAGCCACCTGGCCCGGGCCTCGGTGTCACACTGCCTCCAATGTCCTGAGGCTGTGCCCATGGGGCCACAGGAGCACAGGACCCCGTGGCACACAGCAGAGCTCTGAAACTGGGCTTTCACAGGTAACTGCGTGTGAGAGGGACGCAAGGGGAAGCTAACCGTTAGGGACAGCTGTGAGGCAAAAGCGAAGTTTAGAAACGCATGCAGACAAATATACGCGCCGTCCCTAGGGGAGGACTCCCGGAACTCTCCCAAACACCCGACCCCAGACAGGGGGTTGGGTCTCTACCTTTTCCTTCTCGAGGTCCAGCATCTTCTGGGTCAGGGCCGCCTCCGTCCCCTCTATTTGCTTCAGCCACTAGAAAACAGTGGGGACAGGAAGGCACAGCAAGGTGAGAGCCGGTGCCCCACGCCCAGGGTTCACAGCCATCCGGATGTCCCGCTTCACCAGGCCTGCGGGGGCCGCGGGGTCAGGAGCACCCAGGGCCTGTGCGCACGTGTGGTGGCTTTGTCACAGTCAGGCCTGGGTGGAAGGAGGCGGGGGTGGGGGTGCAGGGACTCTTGTGTGGTGTGGAGACGTGGATCTGGTGAGCTGTGGATAGGCGTGTGGAAGGCGGGATGTGAAGTATCGGGAGATTTACAGCTGAGCCACAAGCATGTGTGTACCTAATGTCACCACATGTGTCACACCTGAGCCTCATGACCTCCCCATCTTGCAGCGGAAGGCGTGGAGGCTGATCAACTGCCCTGTCCAAGGTCACACGGTGGGGAATGGGGGTTCGAGCCCAGGCTGCAGGACCCCAAGCCTCCTCCCTCTGCCCTCCAGCAGGGTGTGCCACTGAGCACGAGGTGACGGGAGCCTCAGCCCTGCACCTGACCAGCAGGCAAGAGGTGGGAGTCTGGCAGGTGCAGGAGGTACGTGCAGTGTCCTCACAGGAGCCACCCGAAAGGGGAAGCCCCTGTCCTGGGGGACTGACGCGCAGGGAGGGGTGCAGGGTGTCACAGGCATGGGCTGTTCTGACCGTGGGCCGGAGGGAGCGTCTTCGGCCCCTCCTTGCTGAAGCCCATGCCCTGGCCTGGACACTGCACCCCTCACCCAGGGTGGAGCTGCCTGTAGCTGCCCTGGGCTCCCTACTTCCTCTTCCTCTGACCGCAGCTCCTCAGCAGCTGCCCTGCACTCCCCCGCCTTGGCTTCCCGCCCTGACCTCTCTCCTCCATTCTGCTCGCTCCAGCTCACACCCGGCCTCGCCCCGAGCACCTGCTACCTCCTGCAGTCTCCCCCTCTGCTCCTGGCTCCGCAAGGCCCCAGGGGAGAGCCGCCCTCACCTCTCCTGTTTCTCAGGCCGTGCACATGGCTCTGACCCCTGCCCAGCCCCGAGCCCCACATCCTTCATGCCTCCTGCCAGCCTGTGCCCCCAAATCTGCATCTGCCTGGTAGGCTGCAGCTCGCAGCCATTACTCCTCAAACAGCCAGGCTCCCTCTTCTCAGGGCCTTTGCACTTACTGTTGGCGCTGCCTGGAACATCCCTGCCCAGCCTCGGCCCGGGCCTTGACGGAGCAGGCCTCTGCCCCAACTTCTGGCCCTGTGTTAGCGTCACCTCCCCGGGGAGCCCACCTTGCTTCCCGGGCCCACAGGGCACCGCGTGACTGCCTCGTCACCATGTTCAGTTAGAGGCAGGGGTCAGCTTCCCACTGCCACCCCAGTCAGACAGAGGGACACATCTGACTCCTGGCACCTCTCCCTGCCCAGCCCAGGGCCTGGTGCATGGCAGGGGCCTAGTCAATGCCTGGGGCAAGAGGACGCTGGCATGGGGAACTTGGTGGTGTGGGCAGCTGCGCCCAAGGAGGGAGAGGTGGAAGATCCACAGCCACAGAGGGCTCCCAGTGGTGTAGGCAGCAGGTAGAGCCCAGCAGCAGAAGCAGGGCGAGGGGCTGTGGCCCATGGAGGAGCAAAGCTTCTCTCTTCTGATAGCACAGTGCAAACGGTCATAAAAGGAACGGAAACAGGAGACTTGCCCAGCACCACGCTCCTACCAGCCGCTCTCGGAACAGCTCCTGTGGGGCCTTGCCGGGTGGCTGGTGAACACAAGTACTGGTGGCAAGCTGAGCGTGTGAGGAACCGTGACGGGGACAGAGCGCCGGCCCAGGTCCTGGGCTCTGGAGGGCAGGGGTCCGTCAAAGCCTGTCCGGGACTCACTGGCCTCCCTCACTCCTGGAGACATCGGTGCCGTGGGCCACTCAGCGCCCTACGTAGGACCCCTCCTCAGTGGGGAGACAGGAGCCTGCCCACAGCGAATGGGGGCTTTGGGGGCATAGGTGTACAGCCAGGTCTCTGCACCCCACTCCCGGGGCCCCCCAAGGGCAGGCCTGGATCCACCACAGCTGAGGACAAGCCCCAGGCCTGAACCAACTATCAGAAAGTGCAGCCGTGGCCCTGGCCTCAGCCTCCTTCCCCAGTCCACTACGACAGCAAGTGCCAGATGTGTAAGCTCCCCTCCTTCCACACCCTCCGCCTCCTTCTGGATGGGTGTAGCCGTGGGTGAAAAGCGGCGTGCCTGGCCATGGCCACCCACCCTCTTGGGACTCCCGCTAAGCTTCTCTGCTGCGGGCCAGCCCTGTGCCTCGGTGAGGGAGTCCTGGCTGCCGGCCACTCAGGCAGCTGACCAGGGAGGCATCTGAGGGCCAGGACAGGACAGCTAGCTTGCTGCCCTAACCCTGAGGGGCGCAGTGGGTGAGGAGGGCACTGCCTGGGAGGTGCCGCTGTGGGAGGATCGTCCCAGGACGCTCCAGATCGGGCTAGGCAGTGCTTCAGTGATGCACTAAAGCTCGGGCTTGGTGCCTCTAGCAGGACACTGGAGCCGGCTTCCCTTCGCTTGGACACCGGCACTGCACTGAGCACCCACATACCATGAGATGCATGTCGGGGAGAGGCTGGCTCAGGGCCTGGGAGGAGCCCGCCGTGGCAATGACCCTGCGGGGACCCATTTCCTCCGCCTCCGCCTCTGCAGTGCCCGTCAGCTCTAGGGTGACCAGCTTGTTCCTGCTTTCCCTCCGCTGTCCCTGTTTTAGCACTGAAATTTCCACATCCCAGGAGCGCTCTGTCCCAGGCAAAGCTGCTGTTCGTCACCCAGCTACCCTGCCGGTACTCGGGGTGCTGCGACCCCAGGGCCGCTGCCCTGCAGCCTCCTTTTCTTCCCGAGCCTCTCTCCAGGTGGGGAGAAGATTCGTAGCAACACCCAGCCGACGTCACCCCCATTCCCGGACTAGCAGCGTGGTTCAGGTCTCAGGAACCCAGCCCGAGAGGACACTGAAGTCCTGTCCCCGTGGACTGTCCCAGAAGGGAACTGGGCTTCTCTGGGGGCTCCATAAATCCCGGCCTGGGGTCCCCCTCCCTCCCACTCTCGGGTCTGTGCAGAGTCAAAGGTCAAGGTAAAGCTCTTGGGCAATCAGGGCACCAGGCAAGGTGCCAGGCTGGCCAGCGGGGTGAGGCAGACAGGCAGGAGCTAGCAGAGGGCCGGTGGAGGGGGCAAGGTGTGCGCTGGGGGTGGCACGGGCGGCAAGGGTCAAAGCAGACTGGCCAGGTGCCAGACAGGCCCCTCTTCCCCAGCTGCAGGAAGAGGGAGCTGACCCGGAGTGAACGGGAGGTGAGGCACCGGGACGCAGGGCCCGGCCGGGAGCGGCTGCCGGCTGCTGGGCGCACTCAGCACAGTGCCCTGAGGCCCTCGGCCTGCGGCCCTGGCCCCCCGACACTAGGGGCTGGAGCTGACGCTGAGGCAGGAGCTTGCTGACTGGCGTCTCTGTGTCCCCCAGGGCCACACGCAGTTCCTGAACCCCAACACCCACCACCCCAGGCCCACTGCCAGCCAGACACACTGAGTCCCGGGCAGTTTCCTGCTGTCAACCAGCCCACAAGCTTCGATCCAGGGATGCTGAGCTCTGTGGCCCCAGAGCCGACCTGCAGGGGTAACAAGGAGAGGGGCTGGGGGGCCTCGCTGACCCTGAGGCCGGAGCTTGCGGACCTGGCCTCTCCGTGTCCCCCAGGGCAGTGGGCCACACTCAGCCCCTGGAGGCTCTTTCTCAGTAAAGTCTCAATGCATGGTGACCAAACAGCCCCGCACATTTCACCAGCACTCACGTGGCGCCCCACTGCAGGAGAGACACCCCCACTTGGTTCTGCTGAGGGCAAGGGCACGTCCTGAAAGTGCCCCGTGGAACCTGAGCCACGAGGGCCCACCGGGCAGCCAGGTATGGGCCACCGTCGACCCTCTGCCAACTAGGGGAAGCAAGGGGAATAGCATAGGAGAGAGGGCGTGGCTCCCCTCCAGGCTCCTCCTTTCCAACCGTGTGACCTTGGGCCAGGCGTGGCCGTAGTCTGTCAACATTTAGTGTCCTTTATTCAACTCTACTGGGAGAGGACAGATGCCTAGGAAGTAAACTGTACTCTAAATGCCCTTCCCAAGATTCTGGAGGGCATCTTGATTAAGATCATTAAGACTTCATTGTTTCAGAAGTAGCATTTTAAAGTTTGACTTACATGCATTGAAAGGAAAAGGTATGTTGGAAGAACTACAAAAACCATTATGTATATCCAAAATATCCCACACCAGTATACAAGACAAACAAACCAGGAATGGATTTTTACAAAACAAGTGGATGTTAGCATCTTTAATATGTAAAGCACACGGAGAAGTCAGCAAGAAAAATAATCACAGCAAATACTCATTTGTTGGATGGATGGATGGATGGATGGATGGATGGACGGACGGACGGACGGACGGACGGGTAAATGGACCAGCCCAGTAGAAAATCCTCAAAAGAAATTCAATTTCAACAACACAGAACAAAACAGATAATACGCATCAAAAAAAATTCAGTGACACTCAAATGAAAATGAAAACAATGACGTCCTACAGTTTTCTACCTGTTCAACGGACCAAGCTGAGTTAGTGTGTGGGACAGGAGGTCAGCAACATGGTAGCCAACACTGCAGGTAGAAAGGGAACTAGAGCCACTGTTCTGGAAACTATTTGCCAACACCAGCGCCCTTGGGAACGTTCTTACCATCCGGCCCAGTGGTTCCACTTCTACAACCTCTCCTGGAGAGGCGTTCTCAGAAGTTTGTGTGCAAAGATGTTCATGTGTGCATGACCCACAAGTAGGAAAAGAGTGGAAATGCCCCAGACACCTAACTGTTGAGGCTGATTAAGCAGTGTAACTACATGATCAGATGATGCAGAGCTGTTAGGACATATGCTTGGGAGCCATTCTAAATGGCTGATACCGCAGGATAAAAAGGAAGTAGGACTGGGCTGGGGAGACAGCTCAGCGGCACAAGCGCCCGCCTGGCAAGCGCAAGGTCCTGAGTTTAATCCCCAGTACCAAAATAAATAAATAAATAAATTTAGAAAGTAGGATGCTCAAGTATGATTTCAACTGAGCACAGAAAAATGGGCGTGGGAAAACCTGGGAAGAAATATACTGCACGCCAGGATTATTTCCTCGCCAAGGCCTGTGTCTCCTCCTGCAGCCCTGCCGTTTCTACACCAGCACATGAAGAGGCATGCCTGAGCACATGCAGACGCAGACAGACCCCTGGCATGCTCCCCACCAAGCGCGACACCAATGTACAGTTTCTTGTATGGTGCTAGGGTGCTGGGACAGGCGTGTGCACGGAAATGCTGCTGGGCTCTACCTTTTCACACAGGGCAAGCACAGTTCCAGCTTGGATTATTGCAACCTGTTCTTCATTTCTCAAATTCTAAAACACAAAAACGGGCAAGGGCATTTTACACTGGATCCCTGGCCCGCAGGCAGACAATCAGCACCAGGCTCCTCTCTAAACTGAACCCCCAGGAGAATCCACCCCACTCACTAAGGGGGCTAGCAATTCAAGGTAGATGGCTCCTGTCCCTCTGTTTGGGGACATTTCGAGTAGTGGCACTTTGCAAAACAGAGCCTCATTCAAGCCAGTCTTTGAAGACAAAGAGCTTTCTCTCTGACTTTAGGACTCTCGCGTATTCCATGTTCCTCTGGAGCACTCACTGTTAGGCTTGCGGTCCCCTTTGCCGCTCACAGGCTCTAAGAACGAGCCTGCTTTGGAACCCCACCTCTGACCAATGCAGACCCAACCACCCACTCAGGAAAACGGCCATACAAAAGCCTTACATTGTACTTATCAAATCTCTTAAATTAGCGAGAAATTTAAATAACAAAACAAAATTTAAAAAAAAATCACACAGAATACACCCAGGTCAAAACAAGAACACGAAACCAGAAACCGATCGCTCATAGTTACCCCGTTATCGCCAAGGATATCTAATTTCTTCATAAGTTCAGAAATATTCACATCCTGGAAGAGATTTCCAACGTTCATGTTTGTGTGAGCTAAACGACCATGCACACCAGTTCCTAGAGGCCTCCACACACCTGTAGAGGGCGGAGCTCCACGCTCCACTGCTCCTTGGAGGGAGAAGGCAGAGTCTCGCACCCTGGAAAGGCCTGGGGTGGGTCTGGAGGATGCAGCCCACAGGACCTAGCAGGGCCCCAGGCCCAGGGCAAACACTGGGCCTTACGGCAACCTCAGCCTCCTGCACAGCACTTCCTGTCAGCCAGGCACTGCGCTAAGCACTTTGCCTCTTTTCATCAGCCAATGGCATGGCCACCCAGGCTTCATATAGAGCGGCTGCCATGTGGGTTTCAGAGCCGGGAACTGAGGTTCTGAGGGACTCAGGCCAGACCCAAGCAGCCAGACTGCAGCTGCATTTAGCTTGCTGCTCTCAATATGGATAAACAGAGGGGACCCTGGGTGGCCTTTTACAAAATGAACTATGACTTTCAATGGGCATCTCGTACATCCAATGCCATCCCTGTCCCGGGGACACAATCCCCCTTGACCCCAGAGCCGTGCACTCGGAGATCCCTTGCCGTGGGCTCAGCAGAGGCCCCCCCACGCACGCTACCTTCACTCCTTCCTGGTGACAGAACAGCTGGAGGGCGCTGCTGTTGTTCTCGGGAAAGGTGGTGATTTGGAGGTTAAAGGCTGGCGACCTCCGCTCTCTCTCCTGGGGAAAAGATTCGGTTTAAAGACAGAACTTCACTGGATTATTTACCACTTGCCATTTTCCCATTATCAGCAAAAACCAACGCGCTCCAGGTGGCAAAAGCTTAACAATCACACAGCGTATGCTCGGACCGCACGATCCTTGTCCGTGGATACAGCGTCTTCAGGCCTGTCCACAGAGAGGGCCCTTTCAGGCATCGGTTTACTTCTTACCTACTCAGCTAGGAGGAAGCAGTGAACAGGGCCTCAGGAGTCTGCCTGTTGCAAGGTGAAAGCCCAAGGCGTCCCAGGATTACAGCTGTGCTAAGAATAATGGTGCTACGTTTCAAAAGCCACAGGTGTGGTGCGTCACTCCGTGCCAGGCACATGGCTATTCCATTTAACCCTCATGCAATCTAAGGAAGCAGGCAGCTCCGCTCTCTCTTTGTAGACAAAGAAGCTCAAGGACGCCAAGCCCGAGGTCCCCTGTGCGGGAGCAGCAGAGCCAGGCCCAGCTCCTGTCTTCACTTTCTTTCCACAAAAGCAGTTGGCTCTGCTCACAATTCTCCTTGAACCACACAAACAGAACCAACGATGACTCTATCCCTCCCTCAGATTTATTGTCGCATCTTAGGGAGGGAGTATTTTCCTGGAAGAAGCATTTATGAATCATACACCAGGTGACAAGGCCCTAAAAAGGCCGGGAGGAGCTGAATGGCTTACAAGGGCATAGCATACTGGCAAGACAGAACCCTGGTCTCAAATGTGGTTCCTGCTTTACGCTTCAGCACTGGCAGGGGTCATGATGGGCCGGCAGGGAAGATTCTTTCAAATTGTACTTGAAATCAATTGCTTTGATTGGATTAAACTATGATTAAAAATAACTTGCTTTGGGTGAGGCTGGTGCAATCTGGCTATAGGCCAATGGGCTCGAATAATTCAACCACAGGAAGTAACAGGATGAGCATGAGTTAGACGGCAAGTCACGTACGCTGCTCTTGCAGGCAGGGGGCGCTGAAGGAATGAGGAGGGACTGCTAACTCCATGACTTCCAGGAAGCCCCAGCCCCCAGGAGTCAAAGACTCATGAGCCAATAACAACCCTAGACACCCTTCCACCAGTGATACATATTTAAATGGAGTCTCATAGAGAAGATGAGCAGAGCAGCTCAAATTTTATAAGAACAGAAGTCAGAAATCTGGTTTCCAATGGCTCTGAAGGCCAGTGGAGACATTTAAGAAACTTCTAGTAAAGCAAGCAGTGTCCCCGGACAGTGACTTGTGGGAGTCCTGCTCACAGCAGCAGAGGTATTAACCCAGACCTCGCGCTTCAGAATCATGAATGAAACACTCAGGTCAAGTGGGCAGTGAGCCACACAGTACCCCTTGGTGCTGGGAGATTCTCGGCCCGGTCCCTGGCAACAGGACAAGGTTCGGGCAGTGAGTTGTAATGCAGACAGAAGTTTTAAACTCAAGCAGGAAGAAAAACAAAATCAGAAAAGCCACAGACACTGTGAAGGCGCTCACTCGGACGGGGGGGTCACACATGCAAGGTGTCAGCGGAGAGCAGCAGAGACACGTCGCCGCCAGAGCTTGGGGACGCCCGGCACAAACTCAGGTGATACTGAAGATGCTGATGACTTTTAAATGGAAACGAAAGGGGATTGTGAGGTACCATGAGCGCAGGCAATGCAGTAACACACCAAGGCAATACTGCAGGAGGGAGCAATAAAACCATGAACATTCATTCTCCCTGTCCCCTTGGTGCACTGCGGGAGTTCCAGGAAGTTCCTGGACAGGGTTCCATCCCTCCCACCCGGGAGTTCGCAGTTGCAGTCTGAATCCCAGAGGCTAATTTCTTCAACCCAAACTGCTGCAGTGCCCCGGCCCACATTTACTGGATAAAAGTTTGCATAAAGTAACTAAGTTTTCTTAACTGCCTGTGCAAACACGTCCTTCTCCCCTGACTCTACTTACCTTGTGTGTCCCTTAGCAAATAGACAAGGGGCCCAAACTGGCACTAAACACATTAGAAGGTCAAGAGCCGGCTGGGTAGGGCTCTCAACTTCAAAAGGTGAGAACTGCTACATGCAAGGTACTGAAAAAGGTGTGTTATCGACTGCAACAGTGCTTCTGTCTGGGTTTGCGGAACGCAGACCCGGTGACTACGCATGCAGGGAAGAAGTAGTTATGGAAATGAAACACAAATAAAAAAGGCAAAATATTGCAAAAACAAATTATTTTATTAAGTGCAAAACAAGCCGTAGGCAATAAATATATTAGCTCTGGTACAGGTCCATAGACTTCGGCGAGCATCCTCCCCAAACACGTTAAGGCAGTGAAATTATTCTGAACATACAGATTATAAAAAAGAAGAAGGAGAAAAAGAAGAGGAAGAAAGAAAGGAGAGAAACGATAACGCGTCCCTTCACACATGCTTGGAAACGGCAGGGAGCTTTACACGAATTTCAATTTGGGCTCAAAGAGAATGTCTGCTCCGTTTGAGAGCTTACAACAGATAGAGTCTCTTACTTCGAGTTCTAGCACTCTGAATTCTAACAGCTCGTTCTGATCCTTCGCGTCTTGCATTTCACTCTTCAGCTGGTTCTCTTCCATCTCCAGCCTGTAAATCTAGAGCAGAGACAGCTGGGCGTTAACGGGTGGTGGCGGCTGCTATCTTGCACCTGGATCCCCGACCAGGGGCCGCCTCAGCAGGTGGCTTGGGGACAGGGACCTGGCCACCAGGGGGCGGGCCGGAAGAGTGGGGCTTGCTGCAAAGGCTCAGCAGACGCTGTGGGAAAGAAAAGTACACAGGCCGGGCTGGCTTCACCTCCACTGCAGGAAGCCTGGCTGGGGGACCGGATGCTTCTTATGCATTTGCTGAACGAATGGATGATGAGCAAACAAGGTACACAGCCATCCAGCCCCTGCTGAGGTCACCGTGGGGGGAGGAGTGTGGGATAAGGTGCTGCTTCTCCCAAAGCCTGCCCAGGGTCCCTCCAGCCCAACCCCAGGCCAGTCTACCCGGGCAGGGCCCAGCAGGCTACGGCTCGGGTCTCTCAAGCCCTGCACAGCTGTACGACAAGGACAGCACAGGCCGGTCCGGGAAGCAAGTGAGATCCCAGCATGGCTGCCTCCACTGCATGACACATGACTTGGTTTCTGCCCAGGGAAGGTGACAGCTGCACCACGGCCCAGTGCAGCGAGGGCTCACTCAGAAGGCGGGCAAGGCGAGGGTGTCGGGTGTCCTCTGAACTTCCCGACGGGCTCACCACTGCCCTCCTTCCGGTCAGAGGGAGGACCACAGAAGCACCCTCTTCTGGGCTGGTCCCAAACCCAGCGGACATTGACAAATGGGCTCCCAGAGCTCGGCAAGCAAGGTCGAGGGTGCTAAAGCTCTCCTGACCCACAAGGCTGCCTCAGGACCATGACCAGTCCTGCCCGAGGGCCCCGAGCAAAGCGAGGCCAAGAGCCAGCCGTAGCCACACAGCCGGCCAGCAGCAGGGCTGGGACAGACCAGCACTGCTCCCAAGGGGACAGGGACTGGCTCATCCAGTTCTGGGATTCAGGGAAACTCCACAGCGGAGCCCAATCCAGTGTGTGGCCCCCTCTTGAGGAATGCCCATGAGAGAAGGGTCCACAGACACCCAAATCACATGAGGAGGAGTGCCAGGACCCAGAGAGTGGGGGTACGGAGCAACCCAAATGGGCAGGGCTGAAGCACCCTAATCCTGCAACTCATAATTAATTTTAAAAAGGACTGGCCGAGTGTGGTGGTGTATGCCTGTAATCCCAGCACGCAGGAGGCTGAGGCAGGAGGACTGCCATGAGCCCAAGACCAGCCTGAACTACACAGCAAGCCTCTGTCTCAAAAATAAATACATAAAGGACTGAACTCTATACCAACAAGAAAAGAAGCCACTATCTTTTATCCTGACACATTCAATTGCCCCCCAGTATGGACCCCCATGGAAACCTCTGGAAAGGCCTGTGGCCAGAGGGCAGGATGGAGGCTCAGCTCCCAGCTAGTCCGGCTACGGTGGCTCAAGGGACTGCCTTAGGTGTCTCCTACCTAAGGGGGCCCTGGAATCCCAAAGCAATGACAGAGGTGGCCTGAAGTGCACTGCCGGGGACGGCCAGCCTTCCCACTTCCTCAGGGCACTCGGGACAGTTGCCACAGCTCTGCAGGCCCAGGTAAAGGAGAGAAGCAGGCCAGGCACCTCTCCTCCTGTTTCAGCCTCCGGGCCCTCGGCTCTGGGCCCAGACTATGCCGAGGGCCTGGGGCAGGCCTCACACGGAGCCTTGCTGCCATGGCTCTGCAGGGTGACATACCTTCTCCAGCAGGTCTTGGTTTGTTCTGATGAGCAGCTGCTTCTCTTCCACCCACGTGGAATCCTGCAGGAAAGCACTGAGTGTGTTCACCCTCGCGGGAGCGAAGGTGACCAGTGACATACTCGAAGTGAGAAAGCTCGCCGCCCGTGAAAAGGTCGCAGGAGGTCGGTGGCTGTGTGACCTCATCCTCTCTCTTGGCCTTAAAGCCCAAGAAAGTGGAGCACAGGTGTGCAGGGCACCTTCCTCCGCTCACTCAGCTCCACAGGCGCTGTGTCTGCTCGGCGTCCGGCTCACAGACGCTGCTCCTCCGGCAGAGTCCCACCCTCAAGGCCGGCCCACACCTGGATCCTCGAGAGCCAAGTCCCGACCGAGCATCCGGTCCCAGGCACACGGAAGGCCCAGGACGGCCCCAGCTGCTTTCAGCTTCCCCGGGGCACAGAGCTGCGTCTGTGTACCTGCCGTGGGTGTGGATCCCTCCTCCTGCCCACGCGTACTCCCGGCACCCGGGAGGCAGTGTGCCCAGTGAATGATGCCAAGGCAGGGACAGCTTGGTGCTGCTCTCCAGGTGGAACAGGGCTCTGGGTGGTGGCCTCTAAGGACCAGCAGATGGCCCTCAGCCTATGGACACAGGCGTGCCAGCAGGAAATAAACCAACGCAGCCACTGAGAGGTCCTGGCTGTCTGCTGCCATGACAGAGCTATTCTGACACACAGCAGGGCACGACACGGCCTCCGGGCTGGTTCCGCTGCCGGTGAGCTGCCCCACTGTCACCCTGGTCCGGGGACAGGGCCGGGTCCAGGAGCTACCTCTCCAGGGCCAGGCCCACTGCACCCAGAGCCCAGGACCCCAAGGCGACCTCCCCTGGGATGCGCAGGCCTGGGATCTCCTGACACTATGTGACCTGCGGTGTGGCCTCTGCAATCACTCTGTTAGTCACAGGAGTTGGGAAATGGCAGTTTTTCCAGGGTCAAGTCAGAAAAGGTTGTGGGCACCACTTTGCTTTTGAAATTCTCTCTTATTTTCAGGCAGTTGGTAAACAAAGGAAGAAAAGGCCAAACTAGACCTCCACCACACGCTCTGGCTCTCAGACACTCAGTGACAGGCTGTTGCCTGGTTCCGCTCATGTTTTTCCCCATCACCCCTGGAGCACCGCGTCCGGCTCCACAGAACGGCATCCCCTTGCCCCAGGTGAGCCAGCGACACCACCACGGGGACAGGAGCACAAAGATTCACAGAGCACGTGACCATGCCTGCTCACCTGTCCCTTCTCAGCCAGCAACTTCTCCAAGTCCTCGATTTTGGCCTGACACCTCAGCAGATCTGCCTGCAGCTGCTCCCGGGTCTGGAATAGAAAGGACCCGGAAGTGAGCAGGTCGCCTGGGCACACACTGGTGAACCCCGGGGATGGTCCGTGCCCAGACCTGGCCTCGAACACGGCACTGAGGTCATGTAGTAGCTGCTGACCTAAAACTGTGAGGAACCAAGAGGTCACAAGAGCGTCCGGTTCCAACTCCCTCGGCTTCACACAAGTACACGGAGGCCCAGAGAGGACCCCGGTTGCTTCCAGGGGATGAGTGAGCCAGAAACCAGAACCTCAGCATGCCAACCCCAGCTGCCCCATGGTCAGCGTTTGCCACTCAGCGATCACCAAACTGTCAAGTGCCTTCCTGCACGCTTAGCTGCCTGCTCGGGTCTTTTGTCACCCCAGCAAGGGCTGAAAACCAAAATGCCTTAAGCACCAAGCAAGTCATGTAAGCCTGGGACGCCAACCGAGCCCAGGGCAAACAGGGCCACTGGCACTCGGCCGCAGCCGAACGCTGCACGGGGAACAGGAAGCCTGGGGCGGCTGTGTGACCTGATCTTTCTGGAAAGCCTGCGTTTCTCTGGGAAATCTCTGGACTAAATGCGAGTGAGCAGGTGACAATAAAAACCAAACAATGCAGCACAACGAAGCCCAGCTACCCGCGGCTCTGACCTGCAGGAGGCGGACGGAGCTTTCTGCCGTGGTACAGGCCTCCTGGCCCCGCCTTCTGTCCCCTTCATCCTGCTCCCCTCCACAGGGCTCGACCGCCCCAGTGCCCCAGACCCCCACACTCCCTATCCCCTCACTCCCCAGCCTGCTCTGGAGCGGCCGCTCCTCCCGCCTCAGCCTCCTATGAGAGGACCCACAGACAACACCCAGCTCCAACGCAACCCTCTGGGACCCTTGAACCCTGCCGGGCGGTGTTCTCAAGCCTCTTAGGGGCCACGCACAGGCTCGGTTTCCTTGCTTAGAAGGCGGGGCTGACTCCTCCCACCTCCAGGCCAAGTGTGGGAATTAGACAGTGCTGGCCCAGGGTGTGCTCTCTGAGGGGGGAGCAGGTCCTGGTCTGTGTGACTCCAGCGGGGAGAGCGGGGCCTGGGAGGAAGTTTCTGGAAGGCGGAGCACAGCCCAGCGCAGGAACTGGTGGCCGGGACCAAGGGGACCTGGCTGTCCCCATCACTGATGCTCAGGGAAGCCTGGGGTCCTCAGACTGCAGGAGAGGAGGGCGTGCGCTGCCCACTGGGTTGGCCGAGCCTGTGGCTCCAACCGGAGTTGAGGCCCTAAAAGCACCGTCTCTCGCCCGGGTGACAGACAGCAGGCAACTCCAGGTGCCGGGGGCCCCCCCGCTGTCCCCAAGGATGAAGACAGTTCCAGAGCAGTGTGAGGACAGAGACCTGCCATGAGCGCTCTGTCAGTCACCCCAGAACCCCTCCAGGTGCCAGAGCCAGGGAACGCAACAGGCCACCCCCAAAGGACAGGCACCACCCGCTTCTGCCCCAGCGGCCGCAAGGGCCGGGCACTCACCCGGGCCTCCCTCTCGGCGTCCAGCGTCCCCCCGACCTGCTCCTGAAGCAGGGCATAGGCCCGCTGCAGGGCCTGGTACTCCCGGGTCAGCTGGCAGAACCTCAGGTCGGCCTCTTCTCTGGTTGCGGTCTTAATGTAACAGAGAAGGAAAACCATCAACCTGTGATGAGATGTGGCTTTGGGCGCCCGGGTCAGCCCAGACACACTCACATCCACGTGTCACAACCGTCACAACTGCCGCCTACAAGCTCTTAGCAAGCCGGTCACCGCCAGGAAGTAGTGAGAAGACGCCTTTGCCATCAGCACCCTTCCCAGGAGCCCCCGACCCCCGGGAATCACCAAGTCACAGGGAAGCAGGGAGAAAGGGGAGGGGACCACGGAGCCACCCGACTCCAGCGTGAGGGTTAGCCTGTGAGCCACGCCCAGGCATTTCTCCTCAGCGGGGACGCACAAGCACGCAAAGACGCAAATTCTGCTGGAGCATCGGAGCACCGCCTCAGATGTGCAGAACCGAAACCAGGCAAATGCCCGCAGAAGGGAGCCTGAGAGGCAGGACACACATGCGTGTGATGCCCCCAGAAGGCCGTGGGAAGGGAACAGGCAGAGCCGCACATTTTAGTGCTAAAAGAAGCCCATTACCCATCTTTGGCTGGAAAGAAAGGCAGATCAAAAAGCCCGTGTCTGGCTGATCCCATTCAGATTCGCGTAAGAAGACGTCAAAATAGGAGTCCGGGTGGGAAAAATGCCCTGTCCAGAACTCGGGCAGGAGGCACAGCGTACCACAGTGTCTCTGGCACGACCAAAGCCCCTCCTTGTACCATGAGGGTGAGGCCAGTGGGCTGGCAGGGAGGACAGTGTCTTCCTCCCCATGTGAGAAGGAGCGTCAAGGGGACCACCTGGAGAGGTGACATGAGTCTCCTGGGGTTTTGACACGGAGTGGCACAGCAAAGAAGAGGCCATCCCTGGGGACAGATGTGGCAGTGCCCACAGCATGTGCCAGGCTTTCCTGAGGCCTACTGGATTCACGCAGGAAGCCAGCCTGTCATTCTAAGAGGCCATTAAGCAGGGGGAAAAGACCCCAACCCCGAGTCTATGGGAGGCAGCTCTCGGGGTCCTGGGGCGGGAGTGCCTGGAGTCGCAATGCCCACCCCCCAGCTAGGAAGTGGCAGGGAGTGGCCCTGGCACAGAGCTTGTGAGAGCCCAGGGAGGTTTCATGAGAGGCCACAGCGGCCACCTGCTCCAGCTGGTGAGCACCACTCTGAGGTCCAACTGCTCCTGGCATGGCCACTTACCACTGTTAAGCCTAAATGTCAACTTGATAGGCTGGGAGCCGCCTAGAGGGTTAGTAAAACACATTCTGGGTGTGTCCGGGTGGGTCTGTATCTGGCCCCCGACCCCCTCCTCTCTGGCACTGTTCCCCTGGTCTGCCCCACGAGCACCATGAACTTAGCTTTGCTCCTCCACACTCTTCCACCACGATGTTCCTGCCTTGGAGCCGGCTGACCATGGACTGAACCTCCAGAACCTGCGAGGTAAGCCTCCCCTCCTGTACAGTGGTGGGTTGGGTGCTGTGTCCCACTGACAGGACAGCCGGCTGATACAGCCACCCCTGCCTCACCCAGGGCCCTGCCCGGGCTTAAGGCCGTGAGGGGTTGCAAGAGAGAGAGAGGCAGAAGAGCCAGGGAGGGGACAGCAGCCAGGCAGACACAGGCTGGGTGGGCGGGAAGGGGAAGGTCTGTATGTATGAAGTCTGGAGTTTAGGAAAGTCACCGGGTGTGACCTCTAGTGTCACTGAAGATTCAGAAATCTTCGGGGTGTTATGCTGTGCTCCTGGGGGAGTTCAGCAGCGGGTGGGGAGGACAGAGAGCAGGAAGTGTTCTGGGCCACTGGGGACACCGCTCAGCCCCACCGGGGGTGTGACCACTGTGGCACCGGTGGTCGGGAGGGGGACAGCGGTGACCCGCAGCGGTGGCAGGGCTTTCCACGGTTCTCCTCGCCTCGCTCTGCCCGGCACAGCTTGGGTTTTCTGCTCCCACGGTGCTTCATCTTTGTACTCAAAAAGGCCATGATGCCGCTTCCACTAGGTGTGCGTGTGTGTGCGTGTGTGTGTGTGTGTGTGCGCGCGCGCGCGCGCGCATACGTGTGTGGGTGTGTGTATGTGTGCACATGTGAGTGTGTGAGAATGCCTGCGGGCTGGGGCCAGGGTGGAAGAGCTGCAGATGGCAGGCACACCAGGGCGGCACGGATGTTGTCCTTGCTAAACTCAGTGCAGGTAAGGAGGCCCCCTGCCCACCCGCTGCCAGTCGTGGAAGGTTCACCCATGTCAGCGGGCACCACCCTCCTGAGGGCTGCAGCTTCAACGCTGCAGGGAGCCGAGACAGGCTGAGCTCCCAGGCAGCAGCCTGACAAGTGACATGGGGGCGCCGGCACAGGCCGCTGTCCGCTTACGTCGTCCAGGTCCTCCTCGGGGGTGGCCGGGGTCCTGTCGGTCCTGTCTGTGTTGTAGGATGTCTCCGACAACGTCTCCGAGTCCACAGACTCCTCATCAAATCCAAAAAATGTCTCCACAACATGCTTCTGTAAGAGGCAACGCGCAGGACGTTAGGAACAGGACGAGGACTCCCGCCGTCACTGCACCCCGGGCAGGGGGCTTGGCCGGGACCTGGGCCACAAGGCCATCCCCCAGCGTGGCTGTTGGCTTAGTGAGTGCCAGGTGGGAAGGAGGGGGCACAGCCCAGGGGGCCGGGCCGGGCTCAGGGGCCACTGATCTTAGGCAAGTTGAGATGCACCCCAGCTCCCTTCCTAGCAGTGGAGCGGAGCCCCACCTCCCTGTGAGCACAGAGGGGGCTGGTTCCCGTGGAGCGGTCCGGCACTCGGGGACACTCTGAGTGGACACAATAGACGTCTGGCTCCACAGAGGGGAATGTGGGCCAACAGGGGCAGCACGAGGGCAGGGAAAGGCTCCCATGGAGCCCCCACGGCACTGACCAGGCTCATGCCCAGGAGCGAGCGCACCACGTCCTTACCAGGCCTGCACCCCACTGGTTCTCAGCTCCAGGTTCCTCCTTTTTCTGGGCAGCAGTTGACCTTACTTCTCATAACACCGCTAACTGCCAGGCCTCTGGGGACATCTATTTGCTTCCATGCCTACCAGCGGTGGTGGCGATGCAGGCAGGGCCCTATCCCACCCCAAGGGACCCAGGAGGCATCCTTGGGTCACCCACTTGCAAACAACCAGGACGCCTCGGTGCCAGGCAGCGACCACCCACGGCCAGCATCACAGACCGTCCTGGAGACTCACGACTGCTCATTGCTGCGACCGAAGCCTCAGGGCGCTGCTGGTGCCGTCCTCGCTGCCAAGCCCAGCGCCAGACGCTCACTACCGCCACGCCCTGGGCCTGGAGCAGAGCCGCGCTTGTCAGCGTCTGAGTCAGACCCCCGGAGAGCCGTAAGGGCACGCTGCTCCGAGACCAAGACCAAAGCACCGGGCTGTCCCGAGGGCGGCCGGAACTGGCTCACAGGTGAAACCCGACACGCACATAGGCAGTGCCCTGCGCCCTGCAGTGCCAGGGGGACCCGGCCCCACGGTCCCTGGGATTTTCTCGGCAGAGAGAGAAGTGGGAGCCCAGCTCCTGTGCCACACAGACAGGGCCTGTGTGTCTCCTCTGCGGGCTCCAGCAGGGCGAGAGGGAAGCGACGTAACTCATCTGCCCTGGCTTCAGCGATGTGAAACGAGACTGCCTGGTGTTGAAAGTGGACACGGTGCTGCCTCCTTTAAAGACGATGCAACCTGTTCCACACTGCTTTCTCCCAGTCTGCAGGAGAGAACCCACACCTGCTCCGAGGGCGGAGGAGAGCCACCCGGAGAACCACCCCGACGATGCCGTTCCTCGCATCCCTGGAACAGACTGGGCTTTGCAAAGACACAGAGCAGAGAGACACCAAATTTCTGCATCTGGATTATCCTAAACCTCCGTGGGCATTTCCCATGACACCGTGAAGCACGGATCCCCATCATTTGCTCATTCTGAGCACATCTACTATGCAAAAAGGGAGGCTGAGGCAGGAGGTTCCCAGGTTTAAGCCCTGCCTGAGCAACTTAGCAACCTAGTGAGACTGTCTCAAAGTAAGAAACAAAAACAGGCTGGGGCTGTAGCTCAGTGCAAAAGGCCCAAGTCTTGCCTGGCTGAGTTCTTTTTACAAACACACTGGAGTGTGTTTAAAATGCAGTTTGGGCACAAATGCCTGCAAAGGAAGCCCCGCCTGTCCCTGGACACTCAGAGTGCACAGTGCCCATGTGTGGCGTTGGGTCACAGGAGGGACATCACAGCCCAGCCCCCACAGCCACCGGCCGCCTACCTTCATGCCTGTAGGTCATCTCCTGGCAGCCCGAGAAGTAGAGGCACACCAGGGCGCACAGGCAGAGGAAGAAGGAGAAGTAGAGCACGAAGAGGATGTACGCCATGGGGTGGGGTGGCCGCGGCAGCTCAGCAGCAAGCCCCGGGCTCCAGGTCCATCTCAAGCCCTCTCTGGTCCCAGGACAACGTGGATCTTCCCCCAAAGCCTCCTCCTGTCCCCAGCCTGCCTGCCCCACGCTCCCCGAGGCTGCCCTCGGGTCCTCAGGCTGCTGAGGCTTGGACACAGGACACTGGGAAGACACAGCCTCGGCAGAAAGGAGGTGCAGCCGGCCAGCAGGTCCCAGATGCTGGTGACGCCGCCGAGGCTGGCGAGGAGGCGGTTTCCAGGCCAGCCCGGAGCGCGCGCGTCACAGGGGACAGCTGCCCTGCCAGCCTCTCCCTGGGGTCTTTCCTCCAGGGGCTGAGCCTCCGAGCCCAGAGCTGTTGTCAACACCACAGCACAGGCTCCAGGTCCCTGGACAGCTGCGGGCCCCAGGGACAGCAGCAGCCATGGCAACAAGGGGTGAGCCCCGGCAGGGAGACGCCTGCTCACTGGATGCTGGGAAGGGCCCCTGCCGACCACAGCCTGACCCCGTGCTTCATTCACTGGCTCCCTGGCCATCGTTTCTGCAGGATTCACTACCATCTATGCAGCCACACACAAGCTGCTGTCCAGGGGAAGCTGCACCTCTCAAGCCAGACCCAAGTCCGAGCTTCCTCCGCCCAGAGGAGCCCAGGAGAGTCCTGCGCTCCTGCGTTTAGGGGACAGGCTCTGCTAGGCCTCGCACACAGCATCAGAAAAGGTGGCCAGCCCTTAAATAAAAGGGTAAAGCATCTACACTCTGACAGCCACCCACAGCCACAATAAGACAACCGTCAGCTGGGCATGGTGGCCTAGGCCCACAGTCCTAGGTACTCAGGAGGCTGAGGCAGAAGGACACAGCTCTGAGGCCAGCCTGGGCAGTTTATCAAGACCCTGTTTCAAAAACAAAAAGATAGCTGAGGGTGTAGCTCAGTGGCAGAGTGCTTTCCCATTATGCTCAAGGCCTGGGTTCAATCCCCAGGACTACACACACACACACACACACACACACACACACATACACATGTATATGCACCCCCCCCCCAGTAACAGTCGATTTAGGGAAGAAGGAACACTGCTGAAGGCCCAGATACACTCCAACGTCAACACTACCTGATGTCCTCTTCTCTCTGAGGCGTCCATCCTACAGGCAGTGGGGCTCACCCTCCTTTCCTGTTCGGTGCCACAAGCCCTTGGCATCCTGCTTCCCTCTGAGGTGCCCTCCAGCCCAGGCACACCAGGCCTGGGCTTCTGCTGGATCCAGAGAGATACCCCACCCCTGCACGGATGGCTAGGCAGTTAGAGTGCACACCGACACAGCTGGAGCCGCTTCGGGTCACTTCTCAGGAGCCTCTACTAGCGACAGAGGCCAGCTTGGAGGAGAACAGAGCTGACAGGCAGGTTCCCCGCAGCAGTGAGCACCTGAGTCCAGCCACACCTGAAGCTGGCCATGCCTAGACACCTCAATTACCTAAATTCCTTTCTTCCTTTAAATGACTTTGAGTTTTTGACACCAGGCAAAAGAAAAAAATGTCAGCTAATGGGGGAGGAAGAGTGAATCCTGGAAATCAAGTCATCTGCCAAACACTGGGCTCTGGGATAACCCTAAAGGCCGACTTCCACCCCTGGATGCTTGCAAAACGCCAAGACAAGGTGTCCATCAGCCTAGTAAACACCGAGGCACACGACAGCGGCCGGGTCCTGCTGGGCTGGCTCCTAGACCCGCTTAGACTCCCACCCAGGCCAAAAGGCCCTGCGCCCCGTCACCCAGCAACCCTGCTGTACCCAGGCAGAGTGGTCTGAGAGATGGGGGTCGGGAAGGGCCAAGAGCCGCAGCTCCTCGGCTTCTGCCACAGAGCCCGCGGTGTCCAGCTTCCCACCCAGGGCCAGCTCAGAGGAGGCGGGAAGTCTGGGACAGCCTCTGCGTCTCCTGAGCCAGTCAGGGGGCCCAGGCCCAGCCCCGGTGCTGAGCTCCAGCCCTGCTCCTGGGCACAGGCGAACACAGCCGCCATGCAGCTCCCCCCTCCCCCACCATCACGGGGCCATCTGCCCACTGCACCCGCTCCGCTCGTCCTGGTACCGAGCCCCAGAGGAAGCAGATGTAGATACGGGTGGTGGAAGATGCGGTACATCCAGCTCACTGCCTCGCTGGGAACGAGCCGATCCTGGAGGGGCTGAGGCAGCGGTCAGGGGAGGAGCAGGGCACTCACACCCTCACGGATGTGCGAGGGGAGGAGCAGGGCACTCACACCCTCACGGATGTTCGAGGGAGCCCCGAGCGCGGAGAAGGAAATGCGGAACGCTGCGGCGGGTGGAGGGGGACGGAAAGTGGGAACAGCCCTGGGAGACTAACACGCGTGCCCACGGCGCGGTGACTCCAAGGCCCCCTCCCTCAGACCCTGCACAACGCCGGCTTAGCAGGAGCAAGGCAGGGAAACAGCGCTGCGCTGAGCCTTGGGAAAAAGAGGAAAGGAAGGCGGCCGGGGGGCCCAGGCCAGGGGAGCTGCTTGGGGAGCTGCTTGCGGGGGTGCGGTGCAGAGCCCCGGACTGGCCTTCCAGCGGTGTGGGACTGCCTCCCCCAGGTGACCTCCCGGTTCACGCGGTGCGTTCTCGGGAAAGCAGTGCGTTTCTCTGTCCAGCGGCTCTCTGGGGACACCTGCGCTGCGCTGGGCGGTGAACAGGCCAGGGAGGGCGGGAAGGCAGCCCCGGCCCCGCCCCCGCCTGCGGCCCCGCCCCCGCCTCCCACAGGTGTGCAAACCCTGTGTAAATTCCCTGCCAGTCACTACACTCAGAAGTCAGGAAAACGGGGAACAAAGAAACTTTTTCACTGCAGGGCTCAAGTATCCCTTATCGGAAATGCTTGGGACTCAAATCTCAGTTTCCCAGATTTTAGAGTATTTGCATAGATTTTACCAAGTGAGCACCCATAACCCAGAAACCCAAAAATCCAAAATCCAAACCTTCTGAGCATTATGTTAGTGCTGAAAAACTTTTGAATTTTGGACTAAGGATTCACTTCCTGCATAAATTTGAAAAATAAAGTCATAGCTCAACGATGGGTTTCCCGAAAACTCCACCCAGGAGACTTACGGGGTGTATAACGCCAAACACATCTCGTCAACGGGACACACTACAGACCCTTTAGATTTTAGCATCTGCGCCACGGAGAAAATGGAACTATACAACGCAGGCAGCAGCACAAAATGGTGCAACTCTTCCGTACAGCAGCAGGGGGCGCGCGTGTCCCAGTCAAAGCCTTTCACCACGGGCTCTACATCCCGACCCCAGGGAACCCATCTGTGGGAACATCCAGCCTGTGGACACAGCTCTCTACACAAAAGGCTTTTGCTCTGGTGACATTTATAGAAGCAGAAAGTCCAACAGTAGGGAAAAGGGTAACTAAATAATTGCATAGCCACTGAATGAAGTGTTCAGCATCGGGGAATAAAATGGGACTGGCCCGGAAAGGCAGGCAGGAGCACATTTATTGCCGCATTACTCGTGACCCCAAGGAGCTGGAAGCAAACGCACAGCTGAGGGTGGCAGGCAAATTTATGGCCCGTCTGCTCAACGGATCACACAGCAGTAAGCACTTCTATGTGTGGTGACCACGCAGGACGGGGATAAGGCTTGCAGATAATGTCCAGGGGCAGTCCAGGGCACAGAGGGGTATTCCACTGTCACAGCTGGAGGAACACATTCAAAGGCCAACGCACTTTTTATTCCCCAGCTCTTCTGAAAGCTGGATCTATTGTTTCCGTATGAAAAGTGCATGTTGGGGCATAAACAAGCTCTGCCCAAACGACTTCCTGCTTCGGAGCTTCTAGGACCAGTGTGCAGAGTTACACCTCGGTCAAGCTGGCCGGGTGGCGAACGCTTGGCTGTGGGCCCCACACTGGAGTTTGGACCTCGGCCCTGGCCATCTACTGTTTCTCTCTGAGCTGTTTCTGTATTCTACACCTGCAAGGTTCCTCTTGAACTGTGAAATGGGAAAATCAGTATCAACCTCACAGGGTGGCTGTGGGGATCAGATTAGATGGGGTACAAACTCACCCGCGTTTCCAGGACACAGCTAGGAAAGCCAACACGCCCAGAAGACCCATTTCAGCAGCATCGACCCCAGGGTGCGCAGCCTGTGGGCCACGTCTGGCTCCCGGGTGCACTTGACTTGTCCCACAAATGTATACTGTATTTGGCCTCCAGTACTGTAGATCTCTGCACAATGTTTAAAGTCCTTAGTAAGGTGCCGCAGACTGAGCTGTGTCCTCCAAAGAAGGTATGGAGAAGTCCTAACCCTCACGCTGCAGGCTGTGACCTTATGGGAAACAAGGTCCCTGCAGATGTAATCACTAAACTGACAGGAGGTCACACTCAAGGAGGGTGGGCGCCCGATCCAATCTGCCTAATGACCTTCTAGAAGGTAGCCATGGAAGACACAGAGACCCACGGGGAAGACGCAGGAGGACAAAGGCAGAGATCGGAGTGATGCAGACCCAAGGCAAGGGAGGTCCAGGATGGCTGGGAAAAGGTGACAGAATCCCCTAGGGTGGGGAGCACAGCCCTGCCAAAACCTCACTTCAGACTTCCGGCCTCTGCAATTGAAATAACACATCTCTACTGTCCCGAGTGGCCCATTTTGTAGCACTCTGTTAAGACAGCCCTAGGAAACATATTTATTCCTTCAGCTTCTCACACTAGGGAGACAATAGGAGGTTTGCACAAGTCTGGTAGCCCTAGGAAACCAAAGTATAAGGATTCACACTTTGGGCCGGGGATGTAGCTCAGTGGCATAAGCACCTGCTTGGCAAGCGCAAGGTCCTGAGTTTGATTTCTGGTACCAAAAAAAAAAAAAAAGAGGATTCACACTTCTGGGCTGTCTGACACTGCCTGGGCCACCTTCTTTTCCTTTTTCAGTACCAGAGGTTGAACCCAGGGCCTCTATAGGGAGCTACAAGCCAAGCTTTTCCAATTGAATTTAATTTTTTTTTTGAAACAGGGTCTCACTAAGGTGCTAAATCATGCAGGCTGGGATTATACTTGTGATCTTCCTGCCTCAGCCTCCTAGAGTGCTGGGATTATAGGCATGCACCACCACACCTAACCTGGTCCCACTTCTCATATCAGCCAGGGTGCTGGGCCAGTTTGGCACAGTCCCCTCCACTCCCTGCTGTCACCCTACGCAAGGCCATGTGTGTTGGCCGTTCACACCACACCTGCTCGGCTGCTCTGCTCCCCTAAGACACGTTTGGCTGTAACCGCACCCCTGTCAGAACATGACACGGGCAGGGCACGCGGCCCCATAAAAGGTCACAGGGTCCGGGTCTCTGTGGACGTGAAGTTCGGGTTTCTAGGGTGAATGCCAACCACGCCCTTCTTTTGCAGTCGCTTCTGTCTCTGCAGTGTGGGCGTCTGGGCTTCCCAGGCCCAGCTCCGCTCGCCCCACCACACGTTCAGATGTCATCACTGTCAGATGACAGAACTACATTTTACAAGAGGCGCACGCTCCGGCATTATTCTAAGAAAAGGCACAAAGCCCCCGAGTTTTCAGAACTGGATATTAGAAGGTATAAACCAAGCCTGAGTGTCCTTTAAATCCCTCAGAAGGTCTGAGTACTTACGGTTTTCATTTCCGGTGACTACACCCGGAGGCCTAAGCACAGAATTCCATCAGTAAGTTCTCCATGAATAAATTACCATAAGTGGGTCACATTATACAGCCAGCTTATGCTGCTCTAGGAGGCGGCAACAGCAGGTCCCTCTGTGGATGGCGTGCACCCCGCTCTCCCGCTGGCCAGCCCTGCGATCCGTGACGCGGCCCCAGGACAGGGCAGGGCCCCACCAGGCTCACCTTGGGAGGCTTCAGGCTTTTCCCTCGATGCCTCTTGGAGCGCAACAGCCGTTCTCTCTCCTGCAAGGAAACACAGCCTGCTCCGGTCACAGCAAGCAAGCAGCGGGCTCCCGAAGACCACGGCAGCACCACGGCTTCCTGTGTCCCCCAGCACAGGCTGGCCAGTTCTGTGCACTCAGGCGACACTGCCTGTCACCACTGAGAGCTGCAGGGCCTCGCCGTGTACGCAGGTCCTGCTCTCGAAACAGACCCGGCTCTGCTGGTGCCTGGTGGTCAGGTCCAAGCCTGGCTTCTTCTCTGGGGTCACCGAGCAGGGGGGATCGCACCCTGGCTCCCTGGCCTTGGCCAACAACCCACGCCAGCAGTGGAGTGGGGACACCTGCAGCTTTTCACTTGGATGGAGCTGGGCTCAAACCCCCAGAGCTGCCACCCAGCCGGGGAACAGCTTGATTTTCTACCGTTTCCTCCTCTGATGTATGGGGTCAGAACCCGACTGCAGCACTGCTCTAAGACAGGAATGAAAGTGTGGGGGTCAGGCGCCTGGTGGCCTCTGGGGGCAGGAAAGGCTCCCGGAGCAGGAGCGGGAGGGGCCGCAGGTGCACCGTGCCCTGAAGACCGGGGATGCTCTCCCCGTTTCTGACCGCCTTCTGCTCCCCCTGCAGCACAGCAGGCGGGCGCGGAGCTCCAGGCTTAGGCTCCACCCTTCCGGATCCTGACCAAGGTTGTCTCTGTTTCCCTAGGCTCAGTGTGCTTTTACTATCCCTCATTTGACTTCATCATCACTTCTGGGTACGTTTTTCCATCCTAAGCTGCATCAAGTTTGTTTGTAATGAGGCAGAGATGGATGGCTAAATGTATAGGTGGAAGGAAGGATAGAAGGAAGAAGAGAAGGAAAGGGGGAGGAAAAGAAAGTAGGACCGCGGGAAGGAGGAAAGGAAAGGAGGAGACAGGGAAAGAGGGGAAGAAGAGAGGAGGGGAGGGAGGGAAGTCGAAAGACTGAAAGAGGCTGAGGAGACAGGCCCAGTGAGCTGACGGTTACGGTCAAGGCCTTTCCCAGAATTCCAGTCACCAGCTCTCCTACTGTTTAAAGCCCCGTGAACGTGACGGGAGCAACCACAGGCTTCCGCGACAGGCAGAGCACACTGTGCCTCTCAGACCCAGCCTTGGCTCCCTGCAGGTGTGCCACAGCCAGGAGAGAGCACCTCAGCCGCCCGAGTGGGCCCACTGAACCCCAGGGCTCATGGAGCGCACACAGCCTTAGGGAGCCCTCAAGTTATGGCCTGATCACAAGGTCGGGTGTGCAGGCCCAAGCTCAGTTTCCAACCACCAACCTGAAAACTAAAATGAAATTAAGAGGCATTCGAAGGCTTTGCAGAGACAGAGCATGCCCACTCAGCAGAGGCCGCAGACTCAGTCACGAGATGAGCACTGCTTCTTAGGCATGTCACCATGGAAACCGTTCCCAGGTAGCAGCGATAGGATTTAAAGCAGTCGAGGCTGCTTTGCGGCGGAAGTAAGGGGGGAAAGTGTACATCTTAGTGAGGCGGGGGTTCCTAATGCTGCGCTGCCTCATCCCAGACGCCCACTCCTGATGCCACGTGTCACCTGTGTCGCCCTGCCAGGGGGGACGTACCAGCGAGAGGTCGTCGATGACGTGCTGCTGCTCCAGCACCTGCAGTCTCAGGAACTCGATCTCCTGCTCGTCCCTGGTAAGGCTGAGGTCGGTTAGGGACGTGTGGCGCTTCAGAGAGGCCTGGGCCGAGAGCTTCTCCTTCTGCAGCCAAAGGCAAAGATCATGCGTGAATGGGGGACATCAGGGACAGCCCTGGAAGGGTTTGGGGACACACGGAGCAGACAATGGGGCACGGCGGCCACCTGGTCACCAAGCAGGGGGCTGCAGCCAAACTCAAGCCTGCGAGGTGGGTGACAAGGCTC